CATGATGGAAGGCAGGAGACACGGTTAATAAATGAGTCTCTCTGAGGTCGGCTTTCCCCGGCGAGCTGCCATCCGGCCGAGGAGGAAGAGGGATGCAAAGGTTTGCTGTGGACAGATAGAAGTGTGATTCCTTATTTGTGCCTGAGAAATGTTTTAAAACAACCAAGGAAGCTGAGGTTTCTGGTCGGGTTGAAGTTGACGGATAATTCGCTGAGACAGTATTTAAATGTTTACAATGTTGTTTATAGACCAGTTCGGCTCGAGGTCCGGATGGGGACTGAGACCTGGTGCATCTGCCTCACAACCCAATGATGAAAATAAAAGAAATATTGTCTTTTAATATAGCGAACAAATACTCAAGAGGGAACTATTTTACTTCCAAATACACATTATTGTTGATGACAGTTCTGGACTTCAGTTGTGGAGAAAAATACGGGACAAATGTGTCCGCGATGAAAAGCAGCAGTGTGGATGCACGGGGCAATAAAGTCTATGATAAATAAATAAACAAATAAATAAATAGACGTGACTCTCTAGGTCGTCTTCAACAAAAACACGTCACTCCGCCTGTTGTTCTGGAGGTGAACTGCTCTGCAACACAGGCAGAACCATGAATTGACACGAGTGCGTCGACGCAACAACGCAGACGCACGCGCCAGCCTTTAATGTGATCCTTGAGTGACAATGCACATCTGGACTTCATCTGATTCATTCAATACGATCAGCCGTCTTTCCTCACAGGCTGAAAAACCTTGATCTCCGTGCTGAGATTTTCTTGTTTTGGGGCATGTTCTGATTAATTTGTGTCGGCATCTTCAACAAAATATGACTTTTTGAGGTCAGGTCAAGTCAAATGTACCAAATAACTTCCATAAACGAATGAACTCACAGTGAAAGGGTCAAAGATTTAAGATGATAATGCGCCAACTTTCTAGCCAGACATCACCGTGTAGCAACCTGTCGACCGCCTGGTTGTCCCGCCCTAAAGCATTTATTGTACATATTAAAAAAATTAATATGTACCATATTTTAATGAAAGCACGTTGAGCTGTATTAAAGAAGACTTGAAGCTAGAGATTAAGAGCATAAAGCCATGTTTATAGGAATTAAATGAATCAGGAAGTTTCTCATAGACTTCTATACAACCAGAGGAGTCGCCCCCTGATGGACAGCGGACAGAATGCAGCCTTAAGGCACATTGACTTCCCAGAGCCAGGAGTTGCTGCCTGGAAATAACTAAAAATAAGTGCATGATGTAACTTTATTGCATGTAGTCTAACATGAAACAAATGAGTTTGGTGAGAAAAGATTGTCTGTAATTGTGACAAAATGATAAAAAAAAAAAAAAATTGTTAATGAAGTCAGTCAAACCGCAAATTTGCACCACCAGGCTCGTCCTTGATGGACATTTTGTGGGTCAACCGTCCTGCGTCTCCTGACTAGTCTGCCCAACCAGACGTAGACTGTGGGTATAAACCATTGGTTGTCTGACTTACATCACTTTAAACATCGTATGAACTCAACGGACTTGGTGCAACAAATGACTGTAGATATTATGTGAGAAATAAAAGACATACCCGACCTACTGCGTTAAAGATGCATGCATACGTATTGTGGCAAACCAGGAGGAGGGGCCGAGCCAAGACGGGGGATCAGGTTGGGGGGTTGATAGAGGGGGGTGTTACCCAGTGCAGGGGCTGCAACCGGCTGGCAACTGGCATTGGGAACACCCGCAGCCAATCAACCCAATTAAGAAGTGACTGATACGGAGGGGGGCTGAACGGCAGAGGAGGAGGAAGAGGAGGAGGAGGAGGAAGAGCACCGTCAGCACGCGAGATGACTGGCTAGAATTATCGCCCTTTCACGCCTCTCCTCTGTTTTTCATTGAGGACCTGAGACCCCGACGGGAGGAATTTTGTGTTGTTTTTGACTCCCCGAAGTTATCAATTAAAAGGATCTTTCTTCTGTTATCTGCCGAGTGTGTCTGTTCCTGAAATCTCGCCTCCACATCCCCCGGTCCGCCACAGTATAATGTCTTTAGTTGTACACATCTTTGTTGGTCTTCGCTAATTATCAAATGTAAACGTGTACAAGAAAAAACTGCAAAATCTAAACAAGTATCATGTGACAGTGTAACATTAAATAACTAAGAACACACTCGGTGAGTTTAGTCATTTCAGTGACGTTACGTTATGTTCAGCATTATGAGCTCCACATGTCCCATGTTGGACAACGCTGCAAAATGGACACAGAGAGCAACAGATCCCAAATAATGTCCTGGTGTTTCTTCAGTCTCATTTGGATTTGCTGTGGAAGCTTCATCTTTCCCCAGAGGTCTCATGCTGTATTAGATCGTAGGGCCATAGGATTACTTGGCTCTGCCGCTGCCATAGCAACGGGCCGACGGAGGGACCTCCCAGTGGAGGAATGCTGTGTGCACTGGTCTCCATGAAGATACAGTTATATAAACACTTGACACAAATCCTCAAACACGCCTTGTGAAATGCTACGTTGTGTTCAGACACTTGGAACTTGGATCCAATGTGCAAACAGACAGAACAGTTTTTCACTTGCGCTGTCGTCATGACGTTGTTGAGTGAAAGATGCATCTGTGGAGGAAATCGATCAGGAGGTCAGACTGCAGCTGTGATGTTCACACGATGTGTTGTCTTTTTGTGTTTCCTTTTAGTTCTTTGCTGTTAACTATCTTGTATCTTGATGTGTACAATGTGTGGCTTTGAGGTCGGGATCGTTTACATCTATTTATTGTTGTAGTCTTCTTTTGGGCCTGACTTTGTCTCGTATGAGGATGAAGCTTCCTGTCGGCACTCTTTTCTGGCTCGCTCACTGACCCATCCAGGCCTCCGAGTGCTGGAGCAGCCTTTAGATTCATTCCACAGGAACATTTGCAGGTTCCGGGGGATGCAAGCGGACCTGCTGCTCGGTGACGTCCAGCGGTAATATTGCACAACGGGGTTCTAAAGGGATCCTGAACCGGAGGTCCGGTCATAAGAGTCCGCTGTGCGAAAGCAGCTCAATGAACTCGCTGGTTGGGGAGTTAGAAAGAGAAAAGGTCACAACCAACTTCTGACTAAACTCCATTTACGGTCGTTTTCCGTTTTCCACGCCTGTCAGGGGGTTTCCCAGCAACCAATGCCAAAGCAGAAAAACTGTTTAAATATGTGGATTGTAACAAAAAGAAAGTGAACTAATTGACCTGCTCAGTATGTTTTTTAACTATATTCATAACGTGTACTCACTGCTGTCTTTTTATGGTTAAACACTGGTTGCGTGCAGAGCATGCCGGATGACACATTGGAGAAAGACACACACATGCTCATGTAACGCCTTCAAAGTGTGCGAATGGGTACACAAAGTACAGAAACATAATCATACAATTTCCCTGAGCTAAACTGATGGCGCCCAGGGAGGAGAACACAAAGAGGACGATGAGGACCTCTGTGGTCGGCTGCTACCACCTAGTGGAACTATGAAGGAGAACAATCACTTCAGCATCAACACGGCTCTGTTCTGAAGAGAGATACAAAGCTTTCTGTTTCCCGGGTAAGCTTGTGTGTGCAAGTACCAATTATCACCCATTAATTATTATGTAAGGACCATAAAACCAAAATGCACCGGCAAGAGTCCTTAAATGTAAATTCTGCTACTTTTTTTTAACCCTGCGGCTTTTGCAACGGTGCAAGTTACAACCAACCGGGCTGTCGGAGGAGGAAACAGATAGAAGATAGAAAAGAATTTATCAACTTGTCAAAATCAAAGTTACGGAACTTTTAACTCAGTCTCAGTTTAGTCGTGACCCCTATTTCACCGTCTCTTTCTACACAGTGTACTCGTCAACGGTGCCACCGGGTCCTATTCTAGAACCGCATGAACCCAGAACCCCCTTCAGCCCGGACCCCCTGCTATGCCCCGGTTACATGAGCAGAGCGGCCGAGGATTATGAGGACATTTCAAATTCAGAAACAGCGTTCCTGCAGAAATACAAGCACACATCTCATGAGTCATATCTCATGTCACAATGTCACTCAGAGGGGATTTGTCACTAAAAAGGGCGCAGTGTGTAAAAAGTGTGCATACATCTGTGCATACACACACACACACACATATATATATATATATTATGTATATATAAATAATATATATTGCACGGTCGGGGGGGATATACTGTACATACATGCATGCATGATACATGAAAAATGCAGCTTAGTGTTGTAACCCTGATCCTCAATCGTTCATTTTTGGTTAAAAGAGAATATGCATGTTGACACATTTATACACACTATAATGTCAACTTCTACTCATCTAAAATGATTGATATTGACTAATTATGATGGGAAACAACATGTATCAAGGAGAAATGGAGTATTTTTTGATCAAGCTACCACAAAATGAATTTGAAAGCGAACTAAATTGAAGCATCATCATTAAAAACAGACGGTCATCTGTTGCTATGGGAGACATCCTTTAGTGTAATATTGGAAATGATCATAAGCGTTCATTGCAAACTGGGAAAAGTTTATTTTTTTAAGGTTATTTTCTCCTTTTATACTAATCGTAATATGAACTGATACCACCAGATAAAATAATGAACCACCCAACATACCATCTAAGTAGAAGTCAGATCTATGCAAAAGTATTCAATCAAACTTTATTTGACATTACAGAATGATTGACACACCAAAGCAGCGTGGTTTGTTCATTATAGGGACGTTTATTCTCCTACACTGTCCCGTTTAAGCTCACTGTGCGTGACGCCGCCACACCAGAACATCCGGCTCTACCTGGACCAGCAGGACCAGCAGGACCTTCGTGTTTTCAGTCCCGTAGTCCAGTTTCGGGTGTGACACCGTCCTGCTGGGGCGCCTTGTTGTTGTTGTTGTTGTTGTTTGGGGGACTAAACAGGAAACCTGCACCTGTGACTTCACGCGCCGTCACGTGGTGGTCACGCAAAGTGCCTTTAAGAGCGTCTCTCCTCAGCGCGCCGCCCCCTCGCGTCGGGGGCCGTCGGGCCGGCTTGTACACGTCAGCAGTCCAGAAGTCGAGCCGACATGTGCCGCCGCCGCCGCCGCCGCGTCCTCCTCCTCTTCCGGGTGTGAGGAGCGCGTCGCCGCCTCTCGCCGTCCGGGTGAGTCAGCCGCAGCCCGCTTCCTCTCCGGCGACGCCTCGGCTTTCTCCTGCCCGTCTTCGGCCTCCAGCGGGACGCACTTTCGGCGAGTCGCGAGTCTCCGACGAGCCCGGCGGCCCCGGACGCGTTCCCGATGGAAGCCGCGCGGTAGTCCGGCGCAGCGCGACGATGAGGCTCCGGCTGCAGAAGCGCAGCCTGCTCGCGCTGCTCGGCGTCTCCTTCGTGCTGGTGACGCTGCTGGTGACGACCCGCGTGCTGCTCGTCCCCGACGAGGTTCCGATCGATCGGCCGCCGCAGAGGTTCGACTTCGGTTCGCTCGCCGCGCTCAGCAGGTCCGTCTACAACGCCAACTACCGGCAGAGCGTGTTGAACGCGGACAAGTTCCCCGGGGAGCCTCGGCTGGTGCTGGTCGTGCAGGTCCACAACAGGCCGCAGTACCTCCGGCTGCTCGTCGCGTCGCTGGAGAAAGCCGCCGAGGTCCACGGCTTCCTCCTCATCTTCAGCCATGACCACTTCTCAGAGGAAATCAACGCCATTGTGCAGGGGGTGACTTTCTGCAGAGTGCTGCAAATCTATTTCCCCTTCAGCACACAGCTGTATCCCGCCGAGTTCCCCGGGAAGGACCCCCGGGACTGCCCCCGGGACATGTCCAAGGACAACGCTCTGAAGACGCGGTGCCTGAACGCGGCGCACCCGGACGCCTACGGGCACTACAGGGAGGCCTTCATCACGCAGACCAAGCACCACTGGTGGTGGAAGCTGCACTTTGTGTGGGAACGCGTGCAGGCCGTGCAGGGCTACGGCGGCTTCGTGATCTTCCTGGAGGAGGACAACTACGTCCTGCCCGACCTTTTCCACTACTACAAGTCCATGATCGAGTTCAGGAAGGGCGGCTGCCCGGATTGCGACATGCTGGCGCTGGGCAACCACGACGCACTGACGGATTTCACCACGCTGTCCAACAAGGTGTCCACCACCGGCTGGATGTCCACCAAGCACAACCTCGGCATGGCCATCTCCAGGGAGGTCTACTACAAGCTGATGGGCTGCAACAGCGAGTACTGCACCTACGACGACTACAACTGGGACTGGACTCTGCAGCACCTGTCGGGAACCTGCATCTCCAAGCCCGTCAAGGTGCTGGCCGCCCAGGCCTCCCGCGTTCTCCACACGGGAGACTGCGGCCTCCACCAGAAGGAAGACTGCCGGCCCGAGTGGGCGTCGCGGAAGGTGGAGGAGGCCCTCCTCGCAGCCAAGGACGGCCTCTTTCCTCCGTCTCTGGTGCTCAAAGGCGCCGAGGCGGCGGAGCACAAGGCGCACGTGAAAAACGGAGGGTGGGGAGACGTCCGAGACCACGTTCTATGCAAGAATTACGCCAAAGTTCTTTGAGCTCCGACTTTCCCACGAGGGCTCATCGGTATTCCTTATATGTGCCATTGGTCTGCGACACAGAGTGCGCTAATATTCTGCTTCCAAGAACCACGACCAAGCGTTTTGTTTTCTATCGCCAAAGTTGCCAAAGAGCCTGTTGATGTTTTGTTGATGATGCTCCTCCAGGCTCAATGTCAGGTCACCGCGTCCGTATATCTCTGGGCGGCCGGTGGGCCGACGCGTCGGGCTGGATTTATTTCACGGTGGTGGTAAATCAGAGTAAACCTGCATGCATTTTTTTCTTTTTCCAATGAATGAATTGACTGGGAACATTGCACAGGGTGTTGTCTATTCACAACCACATAAATGCTTTGGCGTGATTGACTTTCATTGATTTTATGAACGGTAATGCTTCTCATAGTACGGTGCAACATCAAGCGGGTAGTTTCACCGGGTCTTGGATGAAATGTGTGCGATCGTGAGTCGACGGGGGATTTGTCGATTGTGCAGTAACTGTCTCTGGAGTTTACTGATGACTTTTATTATTTCCTGCACACGATTCGTGTCACTGAATGTAACTTCATGGCAACCAGGGGTCCTTTTGTTCAGCTGACGCCACTTAATGAGTCCGCTCACCCGCATCCAGCCCTGGTCTGCAGCGGCCGGATCTTCTTGTTTTCACTATTTGCTTTCTGATAAGTGAAAAGTGACCCTTTGGAGTTTTGTTCTGCAAACATCAGGGTCATCTGTATTTTTGTAGTTGCACCTTTGATAGAATCGTATTTTGGGATATTGGCATCCAAATGAGAACAGGATTAAATGTATTGGGATTTTCTAAAAAGATGTTGCATTGATATGAATAGTGGGTGAGCACAAAAATAAATCCCACTGTAGTTGTGCCTCTTTTTAGTCTAAAACTACTGAGAGAATGAACACAAGCACGTTAATGGCAATATAGCTTTAAATCTGACCAAAAGTGCCTTTTTACTTTCTGCTTCGACTTGTTTTAAGATCTTTTTAAAGGTGCACTGATAACGTTCATATCGGTGCTGGGGCTTTGTGGTGTAACTAAATATATATATATATAATGTTTGTAGAGGAAATGGAATGTGAATGCATCACTTTGGAAAGAGAGAAGTGCTTTAATGTGATATCGACGTGCCTTATGGAGATTCCTGGTAAAAACAATCTGAAGAGAATGTTAATGAAATAAATACATCTTTATTCTTGAGACGGCCCAATACACAAAGACACGCGTCCTTTATGAACTTTATTTTTTGTGGCGTATTGCCTTTTTGTTCTGATAATCAATAGCTGTTCATTGCTCTCAATGTTTACCAAATGAGGTAAAAATAAAAGGCTGAATCTTGATGTTTGTCTCATTGTACAACAGAGGTGCCAGATTATATATTTTTAATAATGTTGTAGATGTTAACTGAAATGACTAATTCCCATGGAGGTCTCCAGAAACTACAGAATGAACCTCCTTTTATTTGATTGTAGTTGAAAGGGAGACACACAGTGTTTACTGGGTCAGCGTCGGCCATCATACACATGTAGGTCATCTCACAGGTTTGCTGAGACGAAGACGTTTTAATATTTCTACAAACGTACCAAATGGATCTCGGTCAGTTTCTTATTTATCCCTTATCCCATCTGTTTATTCAAGGAATGTATTGTAAAAGTAAACTTGATGACTGGAAGCATTAATTGGAGTATTACAGGGGGAGACTCCGGTCATTCTTCTAAATACAATATTTTCAGAAAAGAAAGCGCCTTTTTCTTTCTCTGCGTCGTTGGGACCACTGAGTTACACAATGACTCAGTACCCGGAAACTTTTGAGCAAACGATGAGGAGATTCCAGGAACAGTGAAGCAAAGCGTCACCGAGATAACCAGTCCAACGACAAACAGCCCATCGGAGCGCGATGTGACGAACCAAACAGACGCCCATCTGACGTCGGGGGTATTTCCTGGATCGCGTCACATGACTGAAGCGTGCGCGTTCATTGGCCAGCTTCCGTTCCGTGTTTACTTCCGGAACTAAATTGTTGTCAGTGTCAGACTTTCCATAAGGACTATTAAACCTCACATCTTCAGCACCGGAACGACAGGTAATCAGTCAAATACACCCGTTATTTAAACGAGCTAAATTGTTTTTTTCCCCCCAGTTGTCACAAATTAAATTCATCATGTTTACATTTCCACAACGGTGTAGCCAGTGTTAGCCTGTTAGCCGTTAGCTGTTGCTCTCGGGAGTTTACATTAAAGACTCTTGTTTACAACAACCGGACAAAGAATTGTGAAAAACCATTTGAAGCACGCGTAAGTAACACCGCGTTGTCCCGCTCGGTGAGTCTGGGAAGGGGAACCAGGCCGACACGTCCGCTTTGAAGCGGCACAATGACGCTAGCCGTGATGTCACACAAGCTAACGCAACGTTAGCTAGCGCTGCCTCCCACCGACATGTTTTAACTTTACGGCCCGCCGGCGGACGTGTGTGCAGAACACATTCCTTAACCGCTTGTCATCGTGTGTCTTTCGGCCTCCTCAGGTGTGTCCTCGTCCTCAGGATGGCTCACTGGTTTCACAGAAACCCGCTGAAGGCAACAGCGCCCGTGTCCTTTAACTACTACGGAGTGGCAGGCAGCCCCGCTGCCAACAAGATATGCAAGTACGTCTGATCGACCTCCGATGGGTCGCCAACCGCTTCTCCAGTTGGACTGACCGCGAGGACAAAAGTCCCCTAGCGCTCTGACGATGACGTAATGTCCCGTGGCGTCCTATTGTTGCTGCCGTGTGATCACAGGCTCCCCAGGGTGCCACTGCCTGCTGGGTGTTTCTAGAGCATCAATTGATTGTGACTTGTTTGACACATTCAGTGACCTGAGGACGAACCGGGCCAGACTGCTGGAGATGTTCACGGATGTCACCTGCAACCCTGAGATCATGAAGAATGCAACAGACGCATACTTCTCCCTCCTCCAAGGTGTGTTCAGGTCTACTGCACAATGTCGTCTGTTGATGAAAAAAAGGGATGCACGGCTTATGATGCTGTCCAACGAGTGGAATTAGAATTCTCCAACCTTTTTAAGACGCTTAAATCAAAAGGAAAACTGTGATGTTAAAAAGAGTAAAAAGCCAAATAAGTATGTTGTAGTAAAGTTGATGATGATGAAGGTCATCATATGTTTTCATTCAGACACATGATGCAAAAGTGATTGTTCACCCTGCGGAAAACCTCTTTTTTTCTCTTTAACACTGGTCCATGTATATAGGCTTCATTTCATCCTTGGATGGAACCACTCAGGAGAACAAGATGAGGTTCATCCAGAACTTCAAGTGGACCGACACTTTACAAGGAAACACGCCGAGGTAAAAACCAAGTTTGTGCGTGCTGGCAGGTTGTGTAGCAACTGCAATGTGTTTTGCGGAGGAGAAAAGCAAACGATTGTCTGCTTTCCAGTAGCTCTCAACCACCTCGATGAAACTCTTCATTCATTTTTACACAGTGCCGCAAATATTATGGACTCCTGAAAGGCATTCTGTGCAAAACTACTACTACTTGTATTCTTAGTGATGGTGCCAATCATAGATCTACTGCCTGTGTAACCCACCGTCTCCCCTGCCAGTGCCCAGCAGGATGCCATCTTTGAACTGGTCTCCATGGCCTTCAACGTAGCCCTCTGGTACACCAAGTTCGCCTCGAGACAAGCAGGGAAAGAAAAGTATGGGCTCATTTTTGCCGTCTGCATGGTTGCACTCATTCATATTTAATCGTCGCATATTGATCAACGCTTTGTTTCCATGTTTCATACTTGCTAATGTCCTGTTTGTCTGCCGTGTAGCGTGACGGAGGCTGAGGCGAAAGATGTTCACCGGAGCCTGAAGGTTGCTGCTGGAACCTTCAAAACCCTCAAGGTGAGATGCAGCGACGTAGAGTCCAGACTTCCTAAGGAACGTTTCATATAGATGGATTTGATAACTCGTTGTTGCTTATGAACACGCGTGTATTAATCTGCGGGGTGATTCTCCTGGGGGGGGCATGTGGGTTAGTGCCTGATACGACGCACCTCACGTATCCTCCCATTGATGCAGTTTCTAGACACACAACGCAAAAAGCCAAATGCTTGGACAGACAGAGAAAGAATATGTCAAAAAGACGTGTCTGTTTGCTTCAGGACGTCCACGTCCCTCGTCTCATCACTCCGGCGGAAAAGGGCCGAGACCTGGAGCCCCGCGTGATCGACGCGTACATCATCCAGTGCCAGGCAGAGGCGCAGGAAGGTGAGGACGCTCCGTCCCCATCGTGAGCCGACGGAGTGTCTCCTGAAGCAGCAAAACACTGAATCATATCAAACACTGAATGAAGCAATCAGAATATTAAAGGATATTTCTATGACAAAGTGATATTAGCAATAAAGAGGTTCACGGATCTGACCGTAGATACTGATGCTAATCACCATGAGCTTGTCTTCATGTTCCACGTGTCCCTCAGTGACGATTGCCAGAGCGATCGAGCTGAAGCACAACGCCACGCTCATCGCAGCGTTGGCCTTCGAGACTGCAAACTTCTATCAAAAAGCAGGTGAGTATTTTTCTCTCAGTACAACACTTGTTTGGTTCATAGTTTGGGGGGGGGGGGGGGGTCTATGGTCACTGACTGCACAGTGACCGCCTTCTTTCCCTTTAGAAATGGCTGTTTGTTGTCCCATGACGCGTGTGTCGTGTTATCTCCATGTGGGCTTTTTTAGCGGACAGACCGTGTTGCTTACGCGTGACGAGGCGCTTTGGTAATAACACGCGATGCACACGGAGCCGTTACAGGTCAGCGTCTGTGTCCGCAGACCACACGTTGAACACCCTGGAGCCGGAGTGCAGCGGCAAATGGAGGAAGTACTTCCAGCTGAAGCAGCTCTTCTACATGGCTTACGTAAGTACTTCCTGCTCGCGTAAGGCCGGCGGCCTGGAGGAAAGCCCCTCCTCCCCGTTCCACTTGTTACCGCTGCCCCGTGTCTGCAGGCCTACTGCTACCACGGACAGACGCTGCTGGCCAGTGACAAGTGCGGTGAGGCCATCCGATCCCTGCAGGAGGCGCAAAGGTGTACGTACATACTGTCAATGCATCCCTACCTGTGTTTGGTGGGCTCTCCTCTTCTTTCACGTGAGATTAGGTTTGTGTGACATGCTTGCAGTAAAGTGTTCTTTAGTTCCCTTTGTCTTGGACTCGCCTGCAAAGTGGTTCTAATCCGAAGCGTAACGGCGTGGAGTTTGTTTGCGCAGGTGCTTCCTGTGCGTTTGTTTCCCACGCGTTGAAGTGAAGGCTGCTCTCTGTTCAGGCTACTCGCACGCCGAGGCGCTGTGTAAAGAGTACCGTCAGACCAAAGGGCCCGGCACCACGGCCAAGCCCTCCGAGCAGCTGTTCTTCCTCAAGCTGGGCGGCCTCATTAAGAACACGCTGGAGAAGTGCCAGAGGGAGAACGGCTTCATGTGAGTGAGTCGGGACACAGATGCATCCAGACGGATTCTGCAGAAACCTCATCGTTTCACTGTTGCTACCCATGGTTGTTTCCTGCAGAAGTAAACTGTTGCATACAGATATTGTTGCCCTGAAGCCGTGACTTGTGACCCACTTCCTCAGATACTTCCATAAGGTCCCGGTGGAGCCGCCCCAGCTCGAGCTGAAGGCCAGTTACGGCTTGGCTGAGCCAATCCCCTTCGAGCTGCCGCCCCTCAGCCAGCAGTGCACTTCTGAAGTCTACGCCACCTTTGACCTGACCAAGGGGGCCAAAAATGACAAGGTACCGAGGGGGTCCTGGCTTAGGCCGAGTGACCGTACGCACGTTACACGAAAGGCGTTGTCCTGGAGACCAGCTACTTGCAAAAGAAATTAGAAGGAAAGATGCTCATGAGTAGGACTGCAGTATTTTTGGGGCGAGGTGTGGACGGTCCTGCTCCAACCCACCCAACGTTAGCTGGCTTCCCTCGCTGCCAAGCACCTCTTTCCTGTGAGGTCACGTGACCCAGACCACGTGACAGAGCTGTGTGTGTGTGTGTGTGTGTGTGTGTGTGTGTGTGTGCGCTCATGTCTGTTCTTTGGTGTTGCCCTTAACTACCAGGCCAAGCCCAAGGAGGAGGAGGTGAAACCAGTGAAGGAGCCGGATCTGAAGCCTCAGAAGGACACCGGCTGTGTCCTCTCCTAAACGCCTCACCCCTTCCACCCCCACGCTTCACTTCCATCGATCGTAATGTACATATTATTTTTCATCTGTGGTGTTTTGCTCTCCTGCATTCGGCTGTGACCGCTGCTCCTCACGTCAGGGCCAAAAAAACACGTTTAGGAGAAGATTGGAATCTGTATTAGAAGTTCAAGTGAAGGTCTTCACACGAGGTCATTTTAAAGGGCCTCTTGCTTTTCAGCGCTGTGGCAGCGGCCTGCTGTATACCAGTATATAAACCCACTGCAGCGGATATGATGATCTGCTGACATTAAAACACACTCCTGATAATCAACAGGGTTAAAGGTAAAGAAGTCGTGGGCAGAACAAGTCATTTGGTTTGTTTTAGCGGTTTACAATCAGTACTTTAATCACATCACACGTGTACCTTAGTTCTGTTACACGTAACATAGCTGCTGTTTCTCTTTTTTACTTCTACTCATACAGGAAATCTTTTATTACTGGATGAATCAATCATGCTGTGATATTCATCCCTAATTAATAGTGGTTTAATTTATCTCTATTGTAATGTACTACTTGAGCTGAATATACGACATGTACTTTGTGTGGCTCGTGTTGAGTTGGTGCGGTGCACGTAGTGCTCCTCTACACGCGTGTTCCTTGGCCCTAAACACGCATCTATCCATTATCTGGCAAACTCTGTAAACTATATTAGCTCCTGAAATCCGCTGCTGGATCCCATCGTAGAGGCGGATGTGCAGACGGGTCAGTGGATCGGGTGAAAAGGCTTATGACCATTATTCTTTATGCCTGGAACAGCAGCACTGACCGTAGTTCCTTTCAAGGCCAACTGTGTATTTAAAGCGTGTGTGAGATCACGTGACCTGTAGCACATCCATCCTCCTCCAGCAGCGTCCGTCATGTCAAATCATCATACTAGTCCATTTACTGACAATCTGTCATTCATTTATTGCTTAGTGCCGGGCAATGGTTTTATTTCAATGGATATTAATCATGTGATTTTCTTTTTTTTTGTTATTCGAAGAAAATAGACAATAAATAGATATAATAATAACAACGAGGAGGACAAAACTGCAAGATGCAAGCCGGCAAACATCCTATAATCATGTGTTTTCTGATCAAATATAAAAGTATTCCCATATAAACAAAAATGCAATGTCATTCTGTTTGCAGACAATTTAAACACAACAGGTGTTTTAACGGATATTTGTTGTAAATCTCAACTTAATATATGATTTGATTGCATTAATATTGAACGTTTTCCCCTCCACGTTCATAAGATTGTTCCGTGCTAGTGGAGATTTCTAAACATGAACAAGTGTAGCAGAAACATATTCGATCAATGACATGCTTCATCTGTAATAACAATATTAAAGTGTTTGAATAAGCTTTTCCGTTTAATTGAATAATCATATCTATTTACACCGAGGAACCCGGGGCTGTAAAAGTAGAATAAAGAAATCCAGCTTGACTCAGTTTGATCTTAATCGGTTGCACGTTTGCTGATGAGAAGGAGGAGCTTAGTTAATCCAGGTGTACACAGCTGGATCAGTGCACGTCCTCGGCTTTCTTAAGTCGACCACGGTGTCCATCACAGACCTTCTGACGCACCAATGGAACCTGCTGACTAACGATGGAAACCTTTAATATGATTGTTTCACGTGTTGGTTTTGTTGCTGTATCTGTGTGTGTGTGCTGGTGTTACTGTAAAGTGTCTTTCAGTAGCCTACCATGTAAAGCACTATATGAATAAACTGTAGTATTATTTAGCCTACTTTGCCTTAACAGTGAGCAGAGGGAATAATGTTCCTCTGGAAATTCACCCTAAAGACTCATTTCAGACCCTTATTCACAACGCGAGAATGTTTTACAACCTTATGCACAAATCTCTATAAACTGTGTCTCATTCTAAATGTCTTTCTACAATTAATGTTTATTCAGAACAAACAAGACTGGAAACAAGTCCAGATGAAATATAAAATAAGTTTGCAGGCTGGTAAGAGTCTGGTTTGTAAATGGTGTAGAAATAACCTGATGAACAAGAACGGATTTAGTAGTTAAGAAGAAGGCTCATTTGTCGGGGGGGGGGGATGGGGGGGGGCACCAGCACCAGCACCAGAACCAGGCTTCACCCCATCTGAGGAATTGGCCCTTGTTTTAGACCTAGGCAGCCTGTGATGGGGGGATTCAGGGTGGGACAGATACTGACGGTGTCCCACCTCTTCATACACTCTCCATCACATCATCAAACACAATCACCGTTTATACGGAATAAAATCCTCTTTGATGTGACACGTTCTTCTGTGTCCATGAAGGTAACAAAGACGTGAGTCAAGGACTTCAGGGCCAAACACACACTGACACACTTTGCCGATTTAAAACCAGCAAAGCTCCGTGTGACGCTGAGATCAGAGCGGCAGCTGATTTAACACACGAGGTTACAGAAAATCAAGATGGCGACGTCCAAAATCAGAAGTGGAGGCTTCAAAACAAACCGACGTCGTGACGTGAGGTCACGGCGTCTGTCTGCCTGTCAGACCCCCAACATACATCTACTATATGACATTTAAGAAGATACGATATGCGCCATGTACATATGAATGAATGCGATGGTTTGTTTGTGGGGACATTCAGGACCCCAGAAAAGACACATAGTGGTTTAAAGGTTTACGATTGAGAGCATGACGTAGCAGCAAAACAAGCCCGGCCCCCTCCACACGGGAAGGACACGGACCGCCTCACACGCCTCTGCGAGGACAATAAGGCGTGCGCGGCTGTATTTGGGAGTCTCGGGTTTCAGGTGTGACTCTTTGTCCTGAAGCTGTTCTTCCCCACGAAGCAGTCGGCCGCCGAACGCAGCGACGTGAGGGAGACGTCTGAAGAATGAACCACAGCCACCAGGAAGTAAGTGTTGTAACGGCGAGGCAAGACGAGCACACGCGTCCGCTCTTAGCTTGTGTTACGTAACCAAAGGGTTAAACGTCGAAGTTAACCTTTGGGAGCTCGTGACTTGTGGTGAGTTTCCTGCCGGAGAGGAAACAAGAAAAGCATAACGTGTGACGCAGAGACGTGTCCGATCTGTCAGCCGTCACCAGACGAGTTTGGGAGTCCTGCCCTGTCCAAACAGACGAGGATCATCCACTTCTCCAGCGGCGAGACTCTGGAGCAGGAGGACAGTGAGGAGGAGGAGGAGGAGCAGTCAAACAGGCCTCCCTTCAGAGAACCTGCAGACCGGGTTGGTAGTGAGAGAAATGTCACGTCACAGCCGATATGTAGTTGTGTCATCGGTTTGTATTCCCTGCTTCTCTCGCAGACGAGGTTGTCATTCAAGAGTGTGCCCCTGCTGGTCGGGAGGATTTCAATGCTGAGTACGCAATGTGACATTTAAACACATATACATACAATACAATAGCCGCGTAGAAAGTCTCACTCGTTGTGTCATTCTTGCCAAAATGAAGCGTGCGACTTCGTCGGAGAAAGGCTAGCTGGTGCTCTTGGACTGAACGCGGCCAAATACCAGTACGCCATAGATCGGCACCAACGCGACCAGCAGGTAGCGTCCAATCCAGGAGCTTTACTTCCTGCATAGTGACCGTTCTAGTTACACACTGAGAGACTTTCCTTGCACCTCACTCACAGACGGCAAGCAGCCGGGCCAAGGACGACCCGGTGGGGGGCCGGGCCAAGGACGACCCGGCCCCCCACCTCTACCCCGGAGCGGAGGGTCGCGGTCATTACGGAGCAGCAGGGGGCCCAGGCGGTGATGACAGACATGTGGAGACAAGTGAAGGACGTCACAACAGAGCCTATGAAGCAGATGATTGTTATAAATAAAATAGAAAGAGAAATGAGGTTTGTGATTGTATGTGAAGCTCTTGTTCAGGAGTTAAATAATAATGGTGTGGTGGCTTAACTGGCATAACAGGAGGAGTGGGAATATGCTCAAATAATATAGAAAAGTGTAAAAAGTGTTTTCAGACTGAATAAGCAAAGCGTTACCGTTCAAGACGAATTCGTGGCAAAGTTTAAAAAAAGCAAAACGTACCGACGAGGATGGGATTCGAACCCACGCGTGCAGAGCACAATGGATTAGCAGTCCATCGCCTTAACCACTCGGCCACCTCGTCACCGGTACTCTGGCTGCTCCAGAGAGAGATTTAACCACCAGTACTCCACCACCTCCTCCAGCCTACAGGACTGCGTTACTAGATAGAATAGAATAGGACGTCGTTTAACGGTGTTTTATCGGACTTAGTTGATAAACCACAAACACCAAAAACGTTTAAAACGGCAACCGAAAATAAGGCATTTCCTTTTTCGATTAAACAGTAAAACAGACATTCAAAGACGTACATTGGCGTATTTTACCTCCTCGTTTAAGATTTAGACTCCTATTTTTATGCATCCGGAATAAGAGACGGTTTGACGAGGATCAGCACAGAGAAGTGTCGCCGCCTACAGGCGGAATCAGACACTTCACTTCACCTTCAGGCAGAGAGACCCGACTTGCAATGACCTCAATAAACTTTCAAATCAACGGTTTGCAAAGGGATGTTTTGGTGAAGTGGAGAACACTAAATTAAATCTAAACACATGTTGGTTTTGTGCTTCTACGAGATGTTATAACAGAACAACACAGTGAGCCAGACAACAATGAAATATAGTGTGAAGAAAACCACTGCAGCCTCTTGCACATAAAAATAACCCTTTCATAATCAGCTCACCAATCAGTAACACCGCAGAGCCAAAGTCCCTGAGTTACTCTGTGCATGAACTTCCTTCAGGGGCTGAAGGTCATATCTGGTTAGCAGGCGCATTGAAAGCAGAGCGGCGGCGCGATGGAGCGAGGCCTGCTGTGGTTCGGCCTGGTGGCCGTCGCCGCTTCATACGCGGTAAGTATTCACTCACGATGAGGGAAGAGTCACGTGAGGGCGCCCGGTCCTCACACTGCTTTCGTTTCATTCAGATACCCCAGATACCCGTTTCCCCTGAGGTGCACGGTACGTCACAACTCAACCACAATGGCGCCGAGGAGAGCAGAGCCTGAGCCTTGTCTCTGCTTGCATTCCAGAGGTGTACGAGAACGGCGAGGACGAGAACCCCCTCCTGAACCCCGGTGAGCTTCACCCTTTGGTCACGGCTCCGGATGCTGCAGTAATGTGTGTTCATTTGGGTTGTGTGTGTTTGTGGTTTAAACATGATGACTCGTCGCTGCGCTACAGGATTAGACGCCAACCTGCTTGAAGGAGACATTTTAACTCCAGTAAGTTCTTTTCTGATGGGACTGTTTCCTTATTAAGGAGAGAGAAATGATTATACTAATTCATTGGTGATTTGTGCTTGATGACATTATTGGGATGGACTGATGCTTCTCTTGCTGGATCTCTATACAGTACTTGAGTCTATTACGTCTATTTCAGCCAGGGGCTTTATTGTATGGGTGTTTTTATGAGCTCTGATAAGGTTTATGGTCACAATTGTTTTGGTACCTTTTAAAACACGTCTCGTGGTACAGGAGGGAAGGAATGCAATGGTTAACAAAAGATACAGGTGGACGTTTCCAATTGCCTACATCCTGGGTGATGATCTGGGTGAGTTTTCATTTTACTGCTCTCTCTTTTCCATTCAATGATTAAAGAATATTCTGACCTCTTTGGTGCTTGGATTCTCAGATCTGAACGCCAAGGGATGCGTCCACCAGGCCTTTGAAATGTATCGGCTGAAGTCTTGCATTGACTTCAAGCCTTATGAAGGAGAGACGTCCTTCATCAAGTTTGTAAAGAGAGGAGGGTAAAAGACAACTGTTTAAATTAAAGCAACCTGATCACTCTCCTTTGAACCGGTTTGGAGTCTAAGTCGACTGTTCCCGCGACGGCCAGGTGTTTCTCCAGCGTTGGGGACCAGCAGACGGGACAGATTCTGTCTCTGGGTTCGGGCTGTGACCACAAGGCGGTGATTGAACATGAGCTGCTTCACGCTCTGGGGTTCTACCACGAGCAGTCGCGCACAGACAGGGACGACTACGTCGACATCTGGCTGAATGAGGTGACGCCAGGTACGTCTGATAGCACGCAGCGACCTTCGACCCCTGTGAAGACATCTTAGGTAGTGGAGGTAGGAATGACTAAATCGTCGTGAAATTCTCCCGGCAGGACTGGAACACAACTTCAACAAGTACAACGACGACTTCATCACCGACCAGAACACGGCGTACGACTACGAGTCCGTCATGCATTACAGACCCTTCTCCTTCAATAAGAACGAATCCATCCCCACCATCACCCCCAAAATCCCACAATTCTACAACATCATCGGCCAGTACCTGGACTTCAGCGAGTTGGACACCCTGAGGCTCAACCGAATGTACAACTGTTGTACGTATGCGCTTCGTGGTTCCGTTTTCATACTTTGTTCATCTTTCTTCTCGGAAGTGGAGAATGGACCAAAACTTTGAAATGCCCTGGTTCCTTCCCCAGCCGGCCCGCTCACTCTGCTGGACCAGTGTGCCTTTGAGTACGCCAGCATATGCGGCATGATCCAAGCCGCCAGCGACGATGCCGACTGGGTCCACACCAAGAGCCGCCCGGGCGCAGAGGATCACACCCTCCTGGGGAGATGCAGAGGTCAGCGTGAACTGTTGTCTCCCAGCTGAGGATCCCTATGACTGACGCCATGAAGGAACAGAAGGTGACGGAGCGTGTCCTGTTCTTGCCCACACTAGATGCTGGGTTCTTTATGCACTTCAGCACCATGACGGGGAGGCCTCTGGAGTCTGCACTGCTGGAGTCACGAACACTCTACCCCAAGAGGAAGCTTCAGTGCCTGCAGTTCTTCTACAAGATGACAGGAAGCCCAAAGGACAGGCTGGTGATCTGGGTCAAGACGGATGACGGCACAGGCGTCGTCCGTAGACTGAAGAAGTTACACACCTTTTATGGTAAAATATGACTTTGGCCGTGTTTACGTAGTGCACATTTTGCAGCAGTCATCTGAGCCGCATTTGGACATAGCTTTGCATCAAGGGTAAAATTCCTTTGGACATTTGTTTAGCTGCTCGGTAGTTTGAAAAAGATATTCAAAACACGTTGTCTATGACGTCAGACGACATACAAGCTCCACTGTTACCTACACGGTTATATATAGAGCTTTGCAATTTGCTTTTTTGCTGACTGTTAGCATTTAGCGCTGAGGCATCGCTAGTCTAAGGGGAGGTAGCCTTGCTCTGCCCAAGGTTGGATGGGCCTGCTTATCGGGGTTTCAAAGGATGGTTTTCCCATCTTTAAAGGCTGGAACATGCGTCTGCGTCTTTACGCGTCGACGCGCTGGTTTCACGTCCTGGTTGTAAAGTCCTGCGTGTGTTGCAGAGCGATTCACCTCCAGAACAACAGGTGGAGTCACGTGTTCTGTTGAAGACGACCTGGAGAGTCACGTCTGTGTGTGTGGAAGTCGTTGGTTGCTTTATTTATTGATCATAGACTTTATTGCCCCGTGCATCCACACTGCTGCTTTTCATCAAGGACACATTTGTCCCGTATTTTCCTCCACGACTTTGTTCCCCTCGTTGGTGGAGATCTCCCTCCATGAATCAGAGGCCATCCGGCGTCCTCATAGTCCGCCAATGACGGCTTGTACAAGCGCTCATATTTAAAAGCTCTTCAATCTGATCCGTTCTCTCGTAAACGTTCTTCCTTTTAATAACGGCCGTATTGTGCTGTGAAAACGGAGACGTGAGACTCTAAAGGACGTAGTCAGCGACCAATCACAGCCTGCTGCTGCAGGAGGCTGCAAAGCTTTAGACGCTAGTCGAGAAAAATGGGTCGACTCACGCAAGGAGGTGTGAAAAGACACGCAAGGGACACGCGAGGGACACGCAGGGGGCTCATAAAAATAACAACATCTCATTTTCCAATTTTAGTTTTGTCTCTAGTTTAGTGCGTGCTGATGAGTGCAGCGGTGCCAGTTGTGACAGAGCCGGCTCAGCTGTTTGCAATAACAAGGCTCTGGATTCATTCTAAATTGACAGTTGCATTAAATATTTCCTCCAACTCCAAGAAAATGAAGTGAAGTATTTCCCACTTGACTCATGCTTTTCCTCTCGTCCTCTCGCTGTGACGCAGCCGATTCCGATCACACGTGGAAGATCGCCCACGTCCCAATGGAGGCAAGGCAGAAATTCCGCTATTCTTTCCAAGCGGTGCGGGGCGACCCCCCCACATCCGCCGGTGGCATCTACATAGACGACATCAGCCTGACCGAGACGCGCTGCCCCAACGCCGTGTGGAGGATCCAGAACTTCTCCAAGATCATGGAAACGGCCAACGCCAGCACCGTTGTTGACAGCCCTCGTTTCTACAGCCCCGAAGGCTACGGCTACGGTGTCCGCATGGTGCCGCTGTCCTCTTACAGCGACTACACGGGCAACTACGTGGGGCTGTACTTCCACCTGCTCAGCGGGGAGAACGACGCAGTGGTGCAGTGGCCAGCGGTCCACAGACAGGCGACCCTGGTGGTGATGGACCAAGACCCCGACGTCAAGCTGAGGATGTCCTCCGCGCGCAGCCTCACCACCGATATGAGGAACAGTAAGCGTGATCGATTGGACCATAGATCCATTTTAACAATAAATAGTTACATATTGTGGCCAACAAATAAAGATAAAGTCTCTAAATGGTTTATTGCAGATCTCAACATGTTTTTCCAGTGTTCTTGGTCTATTCAGACAGAAAGTGAAGAAACTTGGACAATTGCAAAGTTTAAAGTCTCACTTCAAAATTCAATTCAATTAATTTTATTTTTTAAAGCCCAAAATTGCAAGTTACAAATCTGCCTCAGAGGGCGTTAAAGTCTGCACACGTACAACATCCTCTGTCCCGAAACCCACACATCAAGTGTTCATTCACCCCAAACCACTGATGTGAACGCAGAGACACCAACCGAGTGTCCACATCTGTGTCTGTGTCCCGCTCAGCCTCGTCTTCCCCTCAAATCATGAATTTGTGTCCAATAGTGTCCATTTGTGCTGTTGGTCCATTGAGTTTCTTTACTTTCAAGCTCTAACGTTGCCGCCTGAGGAAATCACCGACAACGTAAAGCCGTCGGAGGGAATCCATCTTCACGTGGCAGTTCTGTCTCCTTGTGTCCTCTAGCATCAGACGGACAGTTGTTTTGGGACAATCCCTCCAAGGTGGGGACGTATGACCCTTCCTGCTACTGCTACAGAAGCCAATCGTCGGGCTGGAGAAACTTTATCAAACACTTTGACCTCATGCGGCGCAACTACCTGAAGAACGACGACCTCATCATCTTTGTGGACTTTGAGGGTGAGTTGTCATCTTGTTCCGTATTGTCTGTTATGTGTTGGCGCCAACGTGACGGCGTCATGGTGATCATTTCTTTGTCGACAGACATTACATCACTGATCAATACTGAAGTTCCCATCAAGCCACAGTGAGGTCACACGGGATTTGACACCATGACGGCCTGGAGGTGAGACATCAGATCTTTTCTCTCAATTACCAAATCACACTTGTACGTTGACACGTTTTCCTCCTCCTATGAAATGATCAGATGCAACAGCTGGGACGGAGAGAATGACCTGTGAAAATGAAGAAAAGATGGAGGATTATTAATAGACACATTATAAGAGATTTCTATCATAATTGAAAACAATGAATAGTGTTGATCCATGATCAGCTTTTAAAGAGAATCATCATTTTAAACTACGCAGTTGTTTTGCATCAATAAAAGCTGTTAAAGTAGGTTGCTAACAAACTAGCTTGTGGTATATTTGTTTTGGAGAAAGGAACTCTTTAAGCTTTAAATTGACTTGCATTCATATTTGTTATAATAATAATAATAATAAAAGAATCATCGATAGAGGGTAAAAAGTCAATGTAGTATGTCATCATTATAAACTGTTGTATAATGTCTTAAAAATAATAAAGAAGACGGTGTATCATATGAAATGATTTGTAGTATATTATTTTCATTCAAAGCACCAAAGGAACTTATAGTATTAGAAATGTAAAAGTATGCTCATATAAAAATGTCCAGTTAAGACGTCTAGTATGTCGTGAGAAGCCTATTGTAAAAAAATAAACAGTATATATGCATATAGGAAATATTGGTATTAAACCGCTTAACTGATGTTGCACTGGAGTGTATCCTCAGTTTTGATTTACCAAAAGAGGTAGAGAGAGAGTGAAGAGACTTCGTAGATGTTTCAGTGGGACAGAAGCTGGAAGGAAGGACCGGCACCTCGCAGGCACCGCGCAGACACCTCGCAGACACCGTGCAGACACCACGCAGACACCGCGCAGGCACCACGCAGACACCACGCAGACACCGCGCAGGCACCACGCAGACACCTCGCAGGCACCACGCAGACACCACGCAGAAACCTCGCAGGCACCGCGCAGAAACCTCGCAGGCACCACGCAGAAACCTCGCAGGCACCACGCAGAAACCTCGCAGGCACCACGCAGACACCACGCAGAAACCTCGCAGGCACCACGCAGACACCACGCAGAAACCTCGCAGGCACCGCGCAGACACCTCGCAGGCACCACGCAGACACCACGCAGAAACCGCGCAGGCACCGCGCAGACACCGCGCCGGCACCTCGCAGACACCTCGAAGGCACCGCGCAGGCACCTCGCAGACACCTCTAATTATTTTATTATTTATTTTATTTCTTATTTTTTTTTGTAAAGTATAATGATTAGTCATTTTTGGCACAGCAGTAAAATATGATATTTCATCAGAGAAAAAGTTTTCAAGTTACATGTATGAAAATTGTAACTGAATGTAAAAATCTTTCTTACTCCTTTTCTTCATTGAGTGGAATGAGAATATCCCTCTACTCCCACTTTACCTCTATTCTTTATCTTTATTCTCTATATGATGTCAAAAGAATATTGTATAGCCTATTGAAATATGTCATACAAAACACAGAATAATACAATACCAAAAAAATAAGTAATTAATTGTATTAAATTATAAAGCATAGACAAAGGTGAACTGTCTTTTTAGTAAAAAACCTTACCATCTATCAAAAAGCAACCAAAAAAGTAAGTAAAAAATATTAGTGTTTTCAAACGATTAAAATATCAACATGCAAACGTGTTAGCTTGCTTTATGCAAATGTATTATTTTATTATAAAACAACATTGCCAAACAGGGCGGCACAAAATAAAATTATAAGTGCACATTCCAGGTAAAGGGTTTTGTATGTACTTGGAAATGATTTACATGTTTTGATTTACATGTTAATGTAAATTAATTGAACTTCTCATCTAACGATCATATGTTGGTATGCTGGAGGTTTTACTAAGAAGAAGGAGAAGTGCCGGATTTGTTTTCTTTTCTACATGTTTTGTGAGTGACATTTGTAGGACTGTCGCTCAAACAGGATCAAGTAGCTGGGTCACAACAAAAAGCAAAACATTTGAAAATACCCCCCAAAAATGTCAATCTAAAAAAATTTAAGCTATTAAAATGGGTTTGCGTTAACGTCGTTAATAACGCGTTTAACTGACCGCACTAAAAAAACACATTATAAAATATAAAAATCAATGTAAAACTATCTATCAGCATCTGTAAGCATGCAAAAAAAAGACAGAAGTCATAGTATGTTGAAAACTGTCATCAAAAAGTCATAATAATACATCAAAAGAAACTGTAATATGGCCAGAAAAGGTCTCACAAAGACGTCACACAATGTTCTTTGGAATTGCCACATTTCCTGTATCATGGCGGAACACCGCCTCTTAATGTTGTTCAAATGTTATGATCAGTTTATTTGTCAGCCAGAGGATATTGAGATAATGATCAACTATGCCAAAAAAATCCATCATTTATTTAAGCCGCTAAACTTTGTGCAGGTGCTACAATACGTAGTTCAAGTCACTTTAACACCAATGAAAAGTGTTGTATTGACATATAATTAAGCAATAAGGTACGAGAGACTTTACTTATTATGTTACAGTTCACACATCAATCAGTTAAGGCAAAACAATACAGGTAAAAACATTGTTTTTCTGATGCACTGGTTGAGTTTGAGGTTTACTTTCCACAAACGTGGTTTCTTTCAAAGTATTTATAGAACAACATTAAAAATATACATTTAGGTGTTTATCTCACAGCTTTGTCTATTTACATCGGTATATGGTTTTCATATATTCACATAAATTCCATTATATTTAAACATAAACAACTTGCTCTAAAGTTCTAATCAAAAAGTGGATCATCTATTATAATGTTCCTCGTTCGTTGGTTTTGACACAAATAGAACTTCTGTTCCTCAGAAAATAACTTTTATCAGATGTAAGAATAGAGATCGTTCTGCTGTTGACTGATGCCTCTCTGCAGGGTCTCAGCTCATTGCGCTTCCATTACCTGTGCAAGCCGGAACGCCCGACAACATGTTGGTGTGTCAAAGTGCTTGTTAACCATTGAAACATTGAACCCTCCTGATCAAAGTCCCCCTGCGCCGTCTTCATGTAGTTTCAGAGAAACAGCTTTGTGTCCGGATCGCGCCATGGGCTCCAGGGACAGCTTGAGCCAAATCGCAGCGCTGGTTGGCGTCTTGGTGGCTTTGACGGTAGGAGCATTTGGAATCCAACTACCCTATGTTTGAATGCACTTATTGTACGTCGCTTTGGATAAAAGCGTCAGCTAAATGACATGTAATGTAATGTAATGTAACTACACGGAGCAGAAATTGAATTTTTTTCGTAAAGGTCTTTATATTTTGACATTATTTTTTTTTGTTCCAGGTGCAAGCTGTTCCCACAGGTACAGGTCTCTCATTTAACTTTTAAACAGACACCCAAAACCAGCGTGTTTCTTCGCAGTAACTTCATATTTATCTTCCAGGTGATTACGCAGATGCTGGGGAACTGAGGGACGACATACTTGAGATCAACAGAGGTAAACCCTTTATCAAGCTGTATCTCCTGTCCAGAGGTGTTCATGTGCTGTTGACTGGTATTCATTATGCTCTAAACCGGTTTTTAAGGGTTAAACCAGCTGTTTGAGGGAGACATCGCCATTGATGTAAGTATCTGAGATGAGACGGTTTGCCCAGAACTGGAGAGCAGATTCTGAATGCTTCTCAATGTGTATTGCAGTCCAGCAGGAATGCAATCCTTGACCAAAAACGGAGATGGAAGTTTCCCATTCCCTACATCTTAACCGATTCTCTAGGTAGGCCTTCAGATGAGAACATGTCCACCAGCATATCATCTAACGAGAAGCTGATGTACACGCGCTGACATGGGGTTCCCTTCATTCCAGAGCTGAATGCTAAAGGTGTGATCCTCCAGGCTTTTGAGGAATATCGTTTGAGATCCTGTGTGGACTTCAAGCCCTATGAAGGAGAGAGCAGCTACGTCTCCTTCACCAAGCTGTCCGGGTGAGTCCCGGAAGTGTTGCGCAACTCTGTGGGATCATGCTGTAAAGTCACCAATAAGCTTTACGATGTGGACATCTTGTGACAAAATGCCAGTTAGAGAGCAATAACAGAACACTCTTGGTCACGTTGTAATTTCAGTCCCCGCATTCTCTGCAGATGCTGGTCGTATGTTGGGGATGACAGAACAGGCCAGAATGTGTCAATCGGCGCCGGGTGTGACACCAAGGCCATTGTGCAGCACGAGCTCCTCCATGCGCTGGGCTTTTACCACGAGCAGTCTCGCTCGGACAGAGACAACTATGTCAAAATATGGTGGGACCAGATTGAAGAAGGTGGGTCACAACTGTGTCATTTTTGGTTTTCTCCACTTTTTCATAACTTAATTTTCATCATTAGCTGCACATTTTAAAAAAGGAAAAGGGGAATTCTCCAAAATAATAAAAGGGCAGGAGGTTGTACAGAGTCTAGATATACATGTATGTTATTTGGTAGCAATGTTTAAAGACATTGATACACCATCACATGACCATCGACGTGGCAATGCTACTTTCTCCTGACAGGGAAGAAGCACAATTTCAACAAGTATGAGGACGACTTCATCACAGATCTGAACACGCCATATGATTACGAGTCCATCATGCACTACAGGCCGCTGTCCTTCAACAAGAACGACAGCATCCCCACGATTACCACCAGCATACCCTATTTCAATGAGGTCATAGGCCAGCGTCTGGACTTCAGCGCTGTAGACGTCAGCAGGCTCAACCGCATGTACGACTGTGGTGAGTGTCTGACCCATGAAGGTTGCATAAGTTATCCTGGCTTGGAAAGTGGTTAAGTGATGTGTAAGTAAGGTACTTATTTATTTATTTTATATTTACATTCTCCTCTCAAAGCTGCACTAAAAATAACTATCAGCCAACTCTGACAGCCTCCTCTCCTCTTCAGGAGACCTTGTTGAGGTTGTTCAGCTGCCACTCAATGCCAAAATCTCAACGAATATGTGTTTATGCACTAAAATAAAAGCTGTATTCATTTGTTTGACTGGAAATCACCACTGTAATTTAATCCATATCAACAATGAGTTTTGTTGCTAACTGTCCTGTTCCAGCCAACACACTCACTCTGTTGGACCAGTGCTCCTTTGAGCTGAATAACATCTGTGGAATGATCCAGAACGAGGAGGACAACGCCGATTGGGTCCAGACGTTGAGCAGTCCTGCTGATACCGACCACACCATGGCAGGGCTCTGCAGAGGTACTAAACTTATTTTCTAGATCAATGAAACGGTATAATATTTGCCTACTTGGCATTTTGCGCTTTTATTGTGTTAGAAAACTGGACTCAAAATAATTTAAAATGTTGATTTTATGTAATGGAATCACAGAAAGTTGCTGGTGATAAAAAAGATGTTCAAGATTCTAAAACAGAAAACGCCCCCTAATATGATGTGGTGAGACAAAGACTTTGTAACATGATGTGTCAAATTATTACAAAATGAAAAGAATATTGAACCACAACAACCCTGCCAAGACCAACTACTATGGGGCCTTTAATCAAGATGACCCAGAAAGATCTGGAAATCAGCAAAGTATCATTCGATTGGACCAGAACCGGGGTTACACCACACAACTGGGCTTTATGGGAGATGATGCAATACAGTCTCACACTTTACACACTAAACACGGAACAATCCCTTGCAGTTGACTCATTGTGTACCGATGGTTGTTCCGTTTCCAGACTCTGGCTACTTCATGAAGTTTGATACATCTTCCGGCCCAGTGGGAAGCAGCGCCTTGCTGGAATCACGTATCCTTTACCCCAAGAGAGACGAGCAGTGCCTGCAGTTCTTCTACAAGATGACCGGAGCAGCAGGGGACAAACTGGTGATTTGGATCAGGACTGACGACGGGACCGGGACTGTACGCAGCATCAGGAAGATCCACACCATAACAGGTATTCTGCTGTTGTCGTTACTGCGCCAGGACAGAATAACAACACAAGTATCAGCTTCTTTCTCTTCTCTCAGGAAGTGGGGACGCTGCCTGGAAAATGGCCTATGTGACTCTCAAGGTGTCTGGGAAATTCCGCTATTTCTTCCAAGGCGTCAGAGGATCGTCCGGCTCCTCGGGTGCCGTCTCAATCGATGACATCACCCTTACTGAGACCATTTGCCCCAGCTCCGTTTGGCAAATCCACAACTTCACCGGCATTCTTGCAAGTACTCCTCCTGGCGGCTTGTTGAAAAGCAAGTGCTTCTTCAACTCGGAGGGCCACTCATTCGGTATCAGTGTTTACCCTAATGGAAGAGAGAGTGGCTACCCAGACTATGTTGGGATAGCGTTGCACCTCTGCAGTGGGGAAAATGATGCGGTGGTGCAGTGGCCAGTGAAAAACAGGCAGGCAACCATCGTTGCCGTGGACCAGGACCCTGATGTGAAGCTGAGAATGTCTTCCACGAGAAGCTTCACCACAGGTAAATCCAGGTTACTGGCAGATTTTGAGATTGGTGCTTCACACAACATACGGTGTCAAAACTGCAGCGACGGTATCGATCCCCTTTACAAACCAAACCTTTCATGTTTGCAATAACGCAGTTCAACAGATATTAGATATTAATGCAAAAACGTCTGTGCTACAGAAGGTTTCTCCACGACCACATTTTACCACCATCGCTGACACTGCGGAATGTGCAGCCATCCAATCATAGATAAACGGTTGGCATTAGAATGTACGGAGTGGGATAGGAAACAAGATAAGATTGTCCATTATTAGTCGCACAATGGGGAAAAAAATGTGCTGGATACACATACATTCATGATTTAAAAAATATGCAAGGAAATAAGAAACCAGAAAGGGCGTGTTTGAAGAATCTTATGTATGTATGAATGGGTATAAATGGGTGAATCAAGACATGTATTGTAAAAGCGCTCTAAGTGATCTTACATCTCGTAAAGTGCGATACAAGTACAGTCCATTTTCGATTCTCACACCATATTGCAACCACACATATGTGAAACTGAGAAACACATAACGTTTGTTTGACCATTTCCACTCTCAGACACTGATCCTCGTTGGAACAGACCAACTGCTGCTTCAGGTGCAGAGTGGGATGTCGGCTGCCAGTGCTTCCGCAGGAAAGACTTTGGATGGAGCACTTTCATTTCCCACAAGCACTTGCACAGCAGGAGCTTCCTCAAAGAAAATGACTTCATCATCACTGTCAACTTCAATGGTGAGGACCAAAACCCAGCGGCTCTCTATGACTGTACCACATTATTCCTATATCAGACAAATAAGTAATAACATATCCAAATATGGACATCTTGAATGAGCCAATGTTTTATTGGACATTTTCATGAACTTGTTTTGTTAGATTTGACCCACCTGATCCAGACCGAGGTGGACGTCGAACCAGCGTCACCGGGCAGTGACGTCCCGAACGAGGAGCCAATCAGCGAGGTGGAAATGAGACCGGAGGTTTCAAAACACAGAGAAGCCCGAGCTGCCGATCCCTGTCGTCCCAACCCTTGTTCCAACGGAGGCGTGTGTGTGGAGCGTGACGGGAGAGTCTCATGCAGGTGCGTGTTTGCATGAACTAATACACAGCACACGCTTTCTTTGCATTACTAAATGTCTACTATTTTTTCCTAGCAATTTAGCCTAGAGAATTGGGTATATTTTGTACAATCCATTCTTTTCTTAAGGCCCAAATGGCACCTTTGAGTGAACCTTGAGTGAGTGTTGCATGCACATTCATGACCTTCGGAGTTTACAGCAGAATGGGAGAGATTTTAGGGATGGTCTTATCCAGCATTCATACCTATACCTACAAAAAATGATTTGTTGGCATCCAATAGAGTTAGTGAAAATTTTGCTTAACAAGGAAGTCTACAAGTATCTACAAGTATATCTACAAGTCCTCACGCCTGGGGATCAAAGTTGAGTGGGTCCCAAAGCCGTGTTACATGAAACTCCACTTGTTATTCTTACTCAAATGACTTCCAAACCTGCCTAAGTAGTGTCTTTTCATAAACCTAACAGGTTTCCTTTTATTTTGTAAAGATGGTATGCCTGTAACAAGCGGATATTGTTAAGGAACTTGTGAAGGAAAAAAGGAGGAAAACCTTTGTTGTAACATATCATATGTATTTATATGTATTAAGCCAGTACAAATTTCAATGTGGTCCTTATAGATTTTAACATGAAGCAATACTTCTGTACCATGTATGTGATGATTGTAAACCATCACCGTCGGCTGTTATTGGCCTTTACCCTGCTGAAGAGTGATAAATGTCTACTGAAATCACTGAAACCTGTATGAAAATAGTATATGATCATCATAACTGTGGTGAAAACCTGGACATTTTGAAGTGGATTCTTGGAAATAGAGACACATTTATAAACATCGCCAGGAGTTGGGTCACCATACACAGGCGTGATCAAAATAATGCAAATTAAATTGTAGTTTCTTTTGAGTCCTTACCGGAATTGTTTGACATTTTGGCAGAAATACTTTGCTCTTTTGCAGACATTGATTATTTATTATAGGAAGCTACTCATGTTTGTGTGTTAGGTGAGCTGGAGGCAGAAGGCAATCAGCTTGGCTTAGTATCGAGCCTCTATTCATTTAAAACACACACAGACACGTAAAATAATTTCATTCAAGTTACGATCTTCAACCGATTCTTGGAGAAGAAAACGTAGAAGTGGTGACTTGTGAGTTCTGACGTGTCACGTTGTCGTCTGGGGTCGCAGATCAAATCAACAGAAGACACACTGTGTGTTGGTCAACCAGCGGCTGGTAGGTGGATGTTTAACGTTGGTTCCCCTACTTTTAGTCTTCATACTATGCCGTCTCCCAAACTGTCTTCAGTTTAAACTTACAGCAAAGTGAAATCAATAAATATCTGCATGTATAGTATGTGTGTCAGATCAATTACTTGATTAATTAAATGAATATTCTGCGAATAAAGAAATCTGTTTTTTTCAGGTGTGCATCAACCCAGACCACCATCTACACTGGGAAGAGGTGTGAGGAGGTGAGCGTGCACATCGGAGTGGTGGGAGCTCTGATTGCTGGCGCTGCAGGGACTGTGATTCTCACACTGGCCATCTTCACCGTCCTCAGAGGAGCAAGGTGTCTTCTGCATTCATTCGGCAGTGCAATCACAGAAGAAAATGTCGGCATCCTTTTATGAGTTATTCATCTTGGACACTAATTCCATTCTAAGCCCCATATCATGTTGCTGCATGAAAATAATCGTTTGAAATCAATTCCCAACCTTGTAGCAGGGCATGAGTTGGTTTGACTTATATATTAAAAAGAATCAATGTGGTTTTAATAAATTGTGTTATGAAAAATGTCTAGTTAATATTGAAACGTCTTAATCCTGCATAGTATGATGAACAATAAAAGACTTTATATTCTTTGTCTTTATCTCTTATATCTTTATAGTGGTTCGACACACATGATACACAGGTTATAGTTCAAGTAGAAACGTGTTGATTTACAGACTTTCCTTTAAAACAAACAAAATTCAAACCATGCCAAACAGTAAACTAATAAAATAACTTATTATATATATATAACTTATGCCCCAAATACAGTCCGCTTAACTTAGTGCTACAGAGGCGACAACGTCCAATCATATGGTTTGGGTCTCTAGCAATCTAAAGCCCCTACTTTAACCACACAGTGTCAGCTTGGTACTATGCAGCATTTTGTTGGCACTTATTCGATGTGTTGCTTAACCCATAAAAAATGTTATGCATCAGCTAGATTTCAATTGCTGGAGTGGATGTTTTTATTTAAAATCTTGTGACAAACGTCAGTGCTGGAAGAGTGCTGCAATTAATACTAAAAAAAGTCTACTATCATGTAAAAAAATATTAGCGAAACGTGGGTGTTGTATTTAATTCGAGAACAAATGTGATGTAAAAATACTATAATCAACCTGAAACAATTAAGCTAATTTTATGACATTTATCTATTTGATCTATATATTTTTTGTAACTACCTATGAACTAAAATCCAACACAATGTTGACTCAGAGTTGTGGGCTCCAAGTGGTGCTGCATTCATGTGGACTGCTGTCTCTGTCTCCACCATCTGAAATGTAGAGATGGAACATTTTTAGATTAAATCCAGCTCTGAAGCTCAAAGAACCTCATAATGTCTGTGCATACAGGTGGCGAGAAAGGGAGTGAATCGCTGCTTTTAAACTGACCGACCCCTTTCATGTAGCATGACCTTGGTGAAGCTGTTGCTGTGTATTGCCGCAGCATCTTACCCTGGACCTGGCTGGTGGTCAAACTGTCCGACATGGAGGTCTATCACTATCACAATAGCCACTAATAAATAGGAGCGGTGTCATAAAACCTTCGCTTTGTTGATTTCACTTGTCCATCAAACTGATTAATCAACACACTCGAAAGGGAAATGTTGCCTTTTAGGTGTTCTTTTTTATCCATCATGAAATGTCACGTTGTCAGAGCTACGCTGAGCCCACACGGTACGGAGTGTGTGTGTGTGAATCCTTGCATCATTTAATAACGTTATCTAATATAGATTTCAGAGCGAGGCAGAAATAAAGGTGTAACGCATTGTATCTGGATGCTGGACCTTGAACCGATAGATATTTCTATTTTGACTGTCGCAGCTCTTCTGGCCTTTACGGCACTTGGTCAGTATGTGAAGCTCCTCTAAGAGACATAGAACAAACATGTGATCTAACAGAAGACTGACCTCGATCCTCATTTGTCTTTCGTGTATGTTGTTGAAGTCAAATTCTTCGTGCTCTCCTTATTTCCTTTTAATTTAGCCTGAGAAAAAAATAATAAAACAGAGATATAATTCAAGTTCCCACCATTCATGGTATAGTTTCAGATGGTCATCATTGGTAAACTTACCATTATGAGCTTTATAATTTCATCTCGAACCTGTTTATTGTAACACCAAGAAACATATAAATGGGCAGATCATAACACAGTAACCAACAGCCATTGCAGGCCCAAGGCATGAAAACCCTGCCCCCCCCATAGTAAAGGTAAGAATGTGAGCGGAGGATTTTCAATAAATCAATGGACATGTTGACACTGGATTTAACCTACCTTCTTCTCTGCAAAACAGCCTGTTATCAGAAGGAAAAGGCCCTGCAAGACAGAAGTGCAACAGGTTTCGTTGTTACGGTGATGATTTGGAAAATTTACATCTTTAATTCTACATTCAATGTATGTATATGAGCAGAGGTATTGGTACTTGGAGACAAAAAGTAGGACATTCAGTTCGGTGTGTGGATTGCTTTCAAATTACCTGGAAAGAGTTTAGGATGGTAAAACTGTAGTTAGCAACAGTGTAAAAGGGGTTTTCCTTATCCAATAGGAGCAGGCCGAAGCCAATGATCCATGTTACTCCAAAGACAGGCGTTAGAATGACCACCACTTTGATGATGCCTTTGGCTGTCTCCTTGTCATCTGACTTGCTGCCATCTGGGACCGAGGACTTTAATAGAGTAACAATGACAACTACCATGGAAAAGAGATTTGTAAAAATCACAGCACCAACAGGGAGAAGGAAAGCATGAATGGACCCCCTCAAAAGTCCTTCGTAAACCAGCCAGCACGTTTTCTTGTCATAGTATGGCTTTTCGGTGTACTTGCAAAACACATAACTTGATCCGACTATCAAGATTGGGCAAACATATCCTATGATGCTGGAAAGGAACATGAAGACTCTTTTCCTCAGCGGGTTGAAGACAAAGATGAGCTGGTGGACGAGCATGACACTCAAGCACAGCATCCAGCTGAACATGGCTAAGAAAAACAGGTGTTTGCACACTGTAAAAAAGTGGCACCAATTTTCCCCAAATTTCTCTGCAGGTACCAGGAAACTGCAGTTAGCGAGCAAAAGGAAAATGGCTATGTTCACAATGGCTGTGTGACGGAAATGTGAAAGGTTGGACTTGACCACAGCTGCCCACACTAGATACTCAACGGTGAGGAAGATCACCAGGCAGCCGATGGACACTCCCAGGCCCACATAGGTAATCATATCCAGGACATCTGTAGATATATCTTCCTTGGCCATGAGGACGGAGAATGAAGTCAGGTGATTGCACTCGCAGACAGTGCTGTCAGCATTACCATACTTGACAGCGCATCCCGCATCTGACCAGTCACCCTCGCTGGTGTTCCAGAAGACGCAGTAAGGTTTATCGCCATTCGACTGAATTCGGGGGAAGTCCAGTTCAATTTTCACAGACAAACTATTTTTGTCCTTTAGTGTTGCGGATAATATTAGGCTGGCATACTGTGTTTCTCTGAAGTTGTTTTTTAATTTATCCATTAGGTTTTTGATGCCAACAGCTTTCAATGTTCCGTTGGTCTTGTTCAGATTTACGTCAATGCCAAACACAGTCACATTACAGTCAGAACTCGAGCAGAATTTGAGATCCAAATTGTTACTGCCGAATTCTTTGCTATTGTTGACGTTGATATTCTCTGTCAGACCCTCCACAGACCGGAGGTAGTTTGCTGCCATATCCTCTTTCCTGGATTGGTTCACATTACTCCAGGACCCGTTCAATAGATTGCTTGCTGCATCAACAAAATCCTGAAACAGAAGAAAACAAGATAAGAAAAGATAGTCAGTGGATGCTATCGAAGGATGTGAGCTGATCCTCCGGATCGGAACTATGTAGATCCAGTGATGGTGGGATGGACTAATACTGGTTAAGAAAAAACAGATCATTATTATGGTATGCGATACATTTGCTGTTATGTGGTTGCCCTCCACAGCCTACAGTGTGAGTATTCCACTGCAAATGGAAAGAGGAGTAGTGTGTGAATGAGAAAAATGATTTTGGTGAACTGGTGACAGCTCTAACATTGAGGTAGCAAAGAAATGCACATATTTGCTAAGCACAGACAAGAATTATACTAAATGAAGTATTCAAACGAGCAGATTTCTCATTAATAGCAATGGAATATGGCTAAAGAGCGGAGCACGGTCGTCCTCCAATCAGAGGGTTGTCGGTTCGATCCCAGGCTCTGCTAACCCGCATGTTGATGTGTCCTTGGGCAAGACACTTAACCCAACATTGCTCCTGTAGCTGCGACTACAGTGTGTGAATGGTAGTTACTGATGGCAGGTGTCAGTGTGTATGGTTCTCCTGTCATCAGTGTATGAATGGGTGTGAATGGGTGAATGATGTCATGTAGTGTTTGAAGCGCTTTAAGTGGTCGAAGACTAGAAAAGCACTTTACAAGTACAGTCCATTTAGCTCTTGAACACTGTCAACTCGGGCGGCACGGTGGCGTGGTGGTTAGCACTGTTGCCTCACAGCAAGAAGGTCCTGGGTTTGATTCCGCCCAGTGGCCTTTCTGTGTGGAGTCTGCATGTTCTCCCCGTGTCTGCGTGGGTTCTCTCCGGGTTCTCCGGCTTCCTCCCACAGTCCAAAGACATCCTCTGGGGATCAGGTTAATTGGGGACTTTAAATTGCCCGTAGTTGTGTGAATGTGAGTGTGAATGGTTGTGTGTCTCTGTGTTGCCCTGCGATTGGCTGGCGACCAATCCAGTGTACCCTGTCTATCGCCCGAAGTTGGCTGGGATGGACTCCAGCCCCCCCGCGACCCTGTGTGCAGGATAAGCGGTTTGACAATGGATGGATGGATGGATGGACACTGTCAACTCCTTATCCAAACCACAAAAATAGGATCGAAGCAGGGCTACAAATCTATTGATGGGCTTTTGGCTTTTTCCAGTTTCAAACTATTGTTCTCATACTGCCCTTCAAAAATTGGATATAAGATATATATCTTATATATAAGATATAAACCTCTAAGATATAAATATATATCCAAGTTATAAACCCTGTGTGTACAAAAAAAAACAGGGATAACCATCTGGGACTTACAGGAAAGATGTTCTCTTCCAAGAGAAAATTATCTGATGCTCTCGCCATCACATTTAGAACATCGATGGATTGATAAATGTCGGCGATTGAGTCAGGGGAATCCGAATCGACTGTAGATCTGTTCTTAAGTCCGGAAAATATATTGACGGCTCCCTCCTCGGTAGCCCCAAGTCCCATCAGGAAGTACTAGAAGCAAAACAAACAACAGCTATGTGTAAAGATAGACAGAAACACACCAATCCTTTCATTACATAAAATGTAGATAAACAGTCCTTAATTAATAATAACCTTATGTCTGTGATCTGAGTAGTTTTGAGATGTTTGAGTGCAAATTTGTCACATCCCAAATACGCGGATTTTACTGTATTTGGAGAACTGTTTTTTGGAGCTTAGATCATTTCTTTCAACACACCAAATTAACACACCGCATTTGGAAATTAGCTGGCTATTATCTCAGATGCCTACATTCAAACATACATTATGTATAGATAAACTTTATAACCCTTTAGTGTTGTACCTAATGGTAAAATGACCAATACACACACTTGAATCACTATCAATCATAATGCTGGTGATAAAGCCATTCTTTTTGGATCATTTGAGTGATCTTGTTAGCTTGTTTAATCTCCGACTAGTGAGGTGGTTATTAAACCAAGCTTGATTGCTCATTTTTTGTAGTTTCTGAGCCCTGACGGTCTGCAGGTTTAACGCCATAGCGTCAAGCCTTTGGAGAAAGACCATTTTTTCTTGTCAAATTTTAGAACCATCACGGAGTCAAATTAAAAATGAAAATAATCTGTGGACATTTCTAAGGTCTGTTAAATAAAGTTGAATAAAATGTTATACTTGAGGCACACTTACATCTGCAGCATTTGAAACTTTATTCAACTCTTGGTCGACACAGAAGGAGATCGGAGGCTGCCAATTTCTGCCTTTACAAGTGCGTGACCTATAGCCAACTCTGCCCGGTTTGCATTTCTTATCAATCAATGTGTCCTCAGCTGGGCAAATTGGCCAAAACTCTCCAGTGTCGTCATATCCCGCTTTGCAAAATGGTGCCCCCTCTTGGACAAAAATATAGGAAATGATTGGTTGAGACAATTTGAATTAATACCACTATAACCAAAGTACCCTGACAATGTAAGAATATATAATATATACCAAAGTTCAATACTACTGAATATACTACAATCTAATATAAAATAATAACTTACGATAAACCACTGGGATAATCACTTTTGCACTTTTATTTTGCCCCACGATGTTCTCAAAGGTGACAGAAACCTCTTGTGAGACAGGGTTTTCTTGGCAACTGATGTCAACGGAGAAAGTGTAGACTAGGTCATATCCATCAGCTGTAAAGAGAGTAGTAGTCAGGCAGATGTTTGCTGTTGGTGATTTTGCATTTCGCAGAAATATTGAGAATTTATATTTGCGTTGGTGTTATGAAATGAAGAAAGATTACACGCTGCGGCTAATGAACGGAATGAAAGGCACAGAAAGATTTGTTTGGTGCTGACTTACACGTGTTGTATAGATTACCCTTCCGTTTACCATTGAAGCTCCACCAAACATTGTAGCTTTCAGTGGAGTCTGAGATGGTCGCATTGACCCTCATGGTAACCTTTTGGGTTGGTGTCTTTTCAGAACAGTCTGCAGAAATAGGGTCGATGTCCAGGTTGATATAGTCAGGCAGGAGCACGACTGTCAGTGATGTCTTGGCTATGTGCCTGACTGACCCGCTGGTGAATGCACACTCATATAAGCCTGCAGGGCACATGTAGGAAAAACATTTTTTATTTTATTCTCAGGCTACTCTGTTCAGATTAGACATGACATGAAACAATTCTGTTATAGCAAAAGAAGTTTTTCTGCATACAAATGTCCCCTGTGTCTAATATTACCATCTATAACATTGTTTAGACATTTAGCACTGATCCATAAAACATATGAGCATTACAAGAGATTATGACAACAAGGCCCGACTCCAGTCCAGCACAATCACTGTTGAGCCTGTTGGCTTTTTCAAAAAGGAGAGGGGCCTAACTAGCTTTGGACGTCTTTCTTTCTTGGGTCAAGTTAATAACCAAACTACCAAAACACATAACAATTTATGGAGCTCTCCATTCACAGATGTGTCCAAGCAAAGGATAAAATAGAGATGTGGAACCAGTTCCAATACCATTGCGGTGACTGTCAGCAAACGGTTGCACCCCTTGGAATTAATGTAAGGTGCTCCATGAATAAATGCAACATCTCTATTATTGATTAGAATTTGCCCCAAATACGAAGTAAAAACAAAGTAGTATATCACTGTACTCGCCTGACCAAAGGCCTGTCACATTCTGGAGTTTAACTCCGACACAAGACTTGTATTCCTCTGTGGCACAGTTGTCAATCATTTTCACCACGCTGCCTGTGTTGAGGCCAAGGCTCTCATTCAAAGTCTTCTTGCTCCAGCCAGCGTTGTCCGACACCTCCTCAAATTTGCATTTCAGTTGCGGAGTCGACTCGTAGCACACTGTAGTCGTTGGGGCCTCTATGGTGACCATTCCTGTGTCAGAAAGGCCATAGAAATACACAGTCATACAATAATCTGGATTAGAGTAGAAGGTAAAGCCCTTCAACGGCTACCCATTGGTTTGAGTCCCTACAGTCTTTTGTCTACCCAATACTTTGCTTCTGGTTCAGTCTCCAGGATGCATACGGACAGTGGATGATTGATTGATGTTACTTAACTACTTTGACCAATGATAACTTATCTTATGGTCCTGGAAAACTAAGTTAGGAAGAAATAATGTGTAAAATATGTGAAGAAATTATACAACAAGAATAAAGATCCTCCTCTGACGTTCTCCCTAAGGTTTCTTCCCTTTTTTTCCTCTTGGAAGGGTTTTTTCATTTTTTGGGGAGTTTTTCCTGTGCCGATGGTGGGTTTCGGGGCAGAGGATGTCGTATGTGTACAGACTGTAAAGCCCTGTGAGGCAAATTTGTAATTTGCGATTTTGGGCTATACAAAATAAAATGAATTGAATTGAATTGAATTAAAGAGAAATTTGGATCGCTGATGATACCAATGCTGAGTTAGTCTCAGAGCATATTATCAAAATTGTAATGGAAAAAACTTAAACATGCTAGCACACCAAAGATTTTTGATATCACAAAATATTTGGCAGTGTCAGCAATTTAAAAGCAGTGCTTAAGGTTTTGCAGTGGCATATTTTAGATTCTGCTATTGCGTTGCTATTTAAGTGGTTTTCTCACACAGATCTGGCAGCCCTGGTCATGGGGCGTGGTGAACATCCCACATTCTAAGGACCACATAAGACTCATTATCATGATCGGACAGTTGTTAAAAGGTCCCATGTGTACAATCCGGTCAGAATTTTGATTTACAGAAAATGAACTTGCATTCTCAGTAAAATGTTTGTGGACTGTGAAATGAACATGCTAACTGGTCAGTCCTGTCTCTGCTTGGTTTGGAACACAGTGAGAGGTGACTGTAGGTCTCTGTAACGTCTGTTCTCAGAGTTAATTTTCCGGCAGATTTATTTTTAACACTTATTCCAAGTTAACTTGTTAACACTTCATTGAGTTGTCGTAAACACCAGTTTAGTGTTAAAATTGAATCTAAAATTTGCTGTGTGCCATGGGCTGTAAAAGTGGACGTAGTAACCGTGTTGCCAGTAATTTGTTTGGGGATTGACGTTTGTAAGTCTCCAGTTTTGTCATTTTGGCGGTTGCAGCGTTTTTTTTCTTACATGAAATACAACCGACTGCTTACAGAGATATCTAAGCAACCAAAATGTTACACATCATTTCCACTGAAATGACACTGTGGAAGAGATAAAGCTGTAGGATAAAAGACCTGACAACATTGTGATGGAGAGCTGCCATCACAATGTATCCCGATAGTGATGTGTAGAATAACTTTAACATTCTCTCTACATTGTTTATTATGCCAATAAACAGAAAAATGATCATTGTCAATGTCTGAAACAGTCGCACAGGCACAGAATCAACATGATGGAATTGAATAAAGATTGACAGCTACAGTATCTCTTCTACTGACCTTCAGTGTCAATCTTAAGCACAGCTCCAAGATTGATTTCCAGATAACGGACGATGTCATGAAGTCTATCAGTTGGCATTTTGACGGTGACCGCTGCCTCGAAGTCAGCAACTTTGTTGACCTCCCTTTAAGATTTGGATCAATGAAAGATTAGCGGTAAGTACGAGAATGTCTTGTTTGTATTTGGATAAAAGTATGATGACATTTGAAAGGAAAATGTTCACAACTACAGTGTGACGCCTTTCAAAGTTTATTTGGGAGTCCCATATGGTTGTAGCTTGGTTGTAGTTTTAAAGGAATAAGCAGGCTGATGATGATGTTAATACTTCAGCCTGTGTTACCTCCTAACAAGGGTTACAGGCTTTGACGAAAAGTCTGTGAAAAAGAAGTTAGTGAACTTTTGGTCACATTTTCTTTAGAAAAACTCTTCTAATTTTATGCATGACAGAAAATAAAAGTAAGTATGGTGTACCGGGAGGCGGCAGGACACCTTAGCTAAAGGACACACCAGAGCAAGGGTGTATTCTGCTGATAATAAGTCAAAGGTTTATCAGCCACTGTAGTCAAAGAAGAGTTGGCTCGGGGTCAAAGGGCCCTGTGTTATGGCACATGCTCCAAATCAATGCTTACACTGTCTTTTCAAAGTAAATTTGACAGAAAACAACTTGGTTAGATTTGTTATGTACGCTAAATAGGCTTATTATGTATGCTAACTTTTTGTAGGTAGCATAAGTTTATTTAATACTTGACTTAAATTGAGCTATTTTACATTGGCTTTTGGTGTCACCTCAACATGAACTCTACTCACCCAATAACTAAGCTGCCGAGATGATTACATCTTCTTTCCTCCAAACCTTAGCTTAACACTTAAGAGTTGTATTGTCCGGCCAATCTAATTTTAGGCTGAGACGATTGAAGAAGCTGTTGCATCATCGTCCTCAATGAAAGAATAAGATAAATCAAACGGAAAGGATGTTACTGTACCTCTGACCGGTTACATTCAGGAAGTTGAAGCCATTCAGACCTGCAAAGCTGGTTACAAGCTTTAAAAAGAAACAGGGTGGCATCATTTATATATCAGGTATTACAGTGAACAGTTGTGTTAGTTGTGTGTGAATATAGTTGTGTGTGATCAGAAATAGAGATGTACCATGGAGGTTTTTCCTGAATCCCAGGTGCAAGTCGCCAATATCACTGATCCATTGAGGTGAACTGTGTTGAATATAAATATTTTCAGTTCAGATATGATTAAGCAACACTTTTGGACGCTCAAACTTGTCTGGGAATCCAGGATATTTACCATGACTTTGGCAACACAGAGTGGCACGATGTGGGACACATTTTGAGGACAAGGAGCCTCCCGGCAACAGTTGAATTGGTTGCACACCGGGTTGCTCCAAATGTAGCCGGTACTGCAGCTGCAGGTGGATTCATTTCGAATAAGCAGGCACTCTAGAATGAGAAGCACAGTCGACTCAAACGACCCAGAGAACTTACTTTTGAAGTATTTCTCTTCAACACTGAATAAATATGAGAGAGAACATGAAAATACTCAAAGGATTTGATTAGTGGGATTGATTACACATGATGATGATTTCTTTCTGAAAATCCCTCAAATATGGCAGCCCGATTTAAAACTATTATGAAGAGCGAGGAAGTAAAGGAAGAGGTCAGGAAGAAAAGTGATCAAATCTCAAAGAATGAAATAGTCTTGAAACTACAGACTGAGACCATAAACTCATGTTTACAAAGTTCACCAGGAATAAATCAGGAGAGAAGTAATTAGAGAGTAATTATCTCATAGAGGAAAAGTCGCCCCCTGTTGGTCACTACAGAGAATGCACTGGCATTCTTTGAAGGAGGAGGAATAACCAATGACAGGATTAGGGTTAAAGGACCAATGACAGGATTAGGGTTGAAAGATCTTTTATTTGGCTTCAGTGTTGAAGACCCCTCGACAGTGATTCGTCTAAATAGTCCCATGACGGGATTAGGGTGGAAGGGTCCAATGACAGGATTAGGGTTGAAGGACCGATGACAAGATTAGGTTTAAAGGACCAATGACATGATTAGGGTTGAAGGACCAATGACAGGATTAGGGTTGAAGGACCGATGACAGGATTAGGGTTAAAGGACCAATGACAGGATTAGGGTTGAAGGACCGATGACAGGATTAGGGTTAAAGGACCAATGACAGGATTAAGGTTCAAGGACCAATGGCAGGATTAGGGTTGAAGGACCAATGACAGGATTAGGGTTAAAGGACCAATGACAGGATTAGGGTTAAAGGACCAATGACAGGATTAGGGTTGAAGGACCAATGACAGGATTAGGGTTGAAGGACCAATGACAGGATTAGGTTTAAAGGACCAATGACAGGATTAAGGTTGAAGGACCAATGACAGGATTAGGTTTAAAGGACCAATGACAGGATTAGGGTTGAAGGACCAATGACAGGATTAGGGTTAAAGGACCAATGACAGGATTAGGGTTGAAGGACCAATGACAGGATTAGGGTTGAAGGACCAATGACAGGATTAGGGTTGAAGGACCAATGACAGGATTAGGGTTAAAGGACCAATGACAGGATTAAGGTTGAAGGACCAATGACAGGATTAGGTTTAAAGGACCAATGACAGGATTAGGATTAAAGGAGCTCCAGCGTGATACCTGCAACCAGTTCATTGTGGGAGAGGATCACTGTGGTCAAGTCAGACAGTTTGATGTCATGTGTTGAATTCAAAATGGAAAGGATCTGGTCGGCCTCCATAGTAACATTACTCTCCACCATCAGCTCGGCAATGTAGAGATCTTCGACTGAAACACAAGATATTGTATGTCGGATCCTTTTGTATTTTTACTGGGCTGAGTTAGATGGGATGCGATCGATTGAGTTGGTCGACAGTAGGTTGATTTTAATACTTAAAATATACCTTCAGTATTTTGTAAACTGAACTATATTTCCCCATAACTTCTCTTGAATTGTGTAGTAAAATGCTTGTAACGGGCAGCAGTTTAACAGGCAGCGAGGGCAATCTTGTGGCGTTAATGTCAGTAAAAGTGTTTTTATTCAGGTTGTGATTAAAAGTGTCAAACGACGTCATGCAAATCCTACCTTATTTATTTATTTATGATATCGAACATATTCTGCATTACTTTTCTGTTTTATAAAATCCTTCTTTACGAGAATGAAGCAAACCTACTCACCCGCTGCAAGGACCTGCAATGAGAAGAATAGGCCAACGACAGAATTAGCCTTAATGCTAAGGGTGTAGTGCCCATCAAAAATATAAAATATATCTTTTTGTAGCTTTGTAATGCTGAATAGATAAAGATTAACACACAAAGATGTTATTCTTCATTGTCAATGAATGCAGAAAGGATAGAGTGTGGAAAAAGTATGAATGAATTAGAAATGCAAACAAGTAGCTGAGGAGTATCTTTACCTGAAAGTATATATGCACAGCTCCAATCAGACACATAAATATCTTGGAACACATCGTTGTTCTAGTGTAAAAAAGAATAAACATTAGAAACAATTAAGGAACCAACAGATGACCATGGGCCTACTCATTCATTGAAATTGATTTTGATGTTTACATTTCTCAGAGGATGATTAATCATTTTGGTGATCGCCTGATCTTTTGCTCAAAAAACCTTCTCTGAGTTGCATCAACTGCAAGGCTGTAAATAGCTTTTATTTTTTATCCATCTCTAAAAACAACATTTGCATACTGCTAATCCCAAAGTTTGGACAAACATGGCCTATATACATCAAATATGTTGAAGCTTGTGTTCCTCTCATACGAGGTGCCAATTTTTGCTTGCAAAACTTGTTTGCACCAGTGGAGTAGGTGGTTTTCAGGCTTCTGATAACAGTGCACGGTGTGGTCAGAGGCCCGTCACTGTGGTCCAGGTTATGCCCACTTCATTTTCTTGTTGGGTTAGGACATGTTAATAAGTGTATGCGTAGACAAAACAAGCTGGCACCCAAAGGCTTCTTTATTAGGCAAACCTGTCCAGTCTCTGCAGTTCAAGAGGAGAAAGCTGCGCTACAAACATTCAAATTATTTTAAATGAGTACTGGACTACATTTGATTATGTGTTCTCCCTGTTTACGTCATACATGACTGAATAATGTAAACAACACGCTATATAACGTATCCCAGGACAACAAAACCAATAACCACAAAAAAAATGATACGGCCCAATAAAAGTAGATCCTATGACAGAAGTGTTTGCTCTACAGCGCTCCTAATAAGGTGATCACATACATGCAATAACAGCCTGACCTGATATGAAAATAAACTCTTTGAGAGTGTGTCAATGGCAAGGACGGTCTGCAAACCCTCAACGCCTTTGATAAAACGCTTTACCGAACGGATAAAGATAAAAACATTTTACAGAATCTCCAGCAACTCACAACTTGTCAAACAAGTTGCTCAACAAACTTATCATCCATGTTGCTCACGCTACATAGTGACTGAGTAGATTGACGCCACAAACACTGACAGGGAAGAAGAAGAAAAGTCATTTTCTCTTAAGACAAACTGCGCCTTGTGTTGTGAAATGCATTCACAACATTTCTGTATGAGAAATGAATTTAAATAACTGATCATGATGATCATCAGCTCTAAGTGAGATATTTGAGGTTGAGGGATTTCCCTGTTATAATTAGTTCTTAAGCCTACAATGTGTTTATATTGTTGTGTTCTCACACACACAACAAAGACTGAAAATTGCATCGCACAGTTTCTGAAAAAACGAATGGGCAGGAAATCATCAGTCAGCACACAACCTCAATGTCCGCAGAGGACACAGTTGAGATGCTTCCATTCATGCAACTAGAGAGAAATCTATGGAGTCAAGCCTGGTGATATAAACAATATAGGTGGAGAAGATGTCTGTTGAGAGCATTTAGAGCAGTGATTCTCAACTGGTGGGACCCGCTTTAATGGGCCTTTGCTAAGCCACTGCTTTAGAGCATGTCAATGTTTCTTGTGAATTGTAAAGAATCTCATTTTGATGTTGAAAGACATTGCAACACAAGGAGAGCTGACATAATAAACAGTTTGCATTTGCTTACATTAATCAAAGCACACAAATACATTGATATAAAGCTCTTACCTTGGCTCTGCACCGAGTCACAGACAAATGCTCCGTATCTGTCAGGTCTGCATCAGAATTAGAGTCTGTGTACGTGGGTACATTGGTCAGGAACACTGGGCTGAGTGCTGTGTTATGGGACACACTTAAATCTTTACTTTGTGCTGGGAGGCCATTTGCATTGATGCCATGGCTCCATATCAACTCGACTGGTCACGATGCACACACAGCCTTTCAGCTTTCCATACGCATTTGTCTACCAAATGAAGCATGTCCTTCAGTAGATCAAAGTCAAAGTCATGCGTCTGGGGAAAGCAAGACAGATGGTGCTCTCCTTGAGTCAAAGATCTTTGATTATCATAAGGAGGATTTCATGGATGTTTTTACTGTTTCTTTTAAGTAAATCCAGGCAAGAAGAAGGGTCACCAACACAAAGTCAACTGCTTGTTATACACTCACTGGAGTTTATTAGATGCCATTGAGACAAAAATGTTAGACATTTGTAACCAAGAACAAAACATAAAATATACCGCATGTATACAATAATAAAAAAATGAATCATAAAATCATTAGGAACAAGGTAAACTAACTGCAACAATATGCTTTCAATTGACCGCAGCAAACGGCTGGCGTCCTTAATCCAGAGCTTCCATAAAACAAACCAAAATAAAATTATTAGAAACACTGTCATCGGTAAAATATTAAAATCACAAAGATGAGGAAGACAACAAGATGTAAGGAAAGAGAATGTTAATCATGCCAGGCAAATAACACTTATCAACGTTACTTGGAGAGACGAGGCAGTGAGAAACTCCTCCGATGTTGAACTGCACAGGTGGATGAACTGAGATTACGCGTCTGACGTCACATTCAGGAGCAGTCGGTCATGATTGACACTCAAATGACTTTTAGGCAATGAACACTTTCCATCCATCCATCCATCCATTGTCAAACCGCTTATCCTGCACACAGGGTCGCGGGGGGGCTGGAGTCCATCCCAGCCAACTTCGGGCGATAGACAGGGTACACCCTGGATTGGTCGCCAGCCAATCGCAGGGCTACACAGAGACACACAACCATTCACACTCACATTCACACATCTACGGGCAATTTAAAGTCCCCAATTAACCTGATTCCCAGGGCATGTCTTTGGACTGCGGGAGGAAGCCGGAGAACCCGGAGAGAACCCACGCAGACACTGGGAGAACATGCAGACTCCACACAGAAAGGCCACTGGGTGGCGTGGAACCAGGACCTTCTTGCTGTGAGGCGACAGTGCTAACCACCACGCCACCGTGCCGCCCCGCAATGAACACTTTGAATAATACAAATATTTATAATCTTTACATTCCGGCCACTGAAACGACAGCGAAGGCGGCGCATGGGATAGGGAGGGTGTGCTGTGCAGCACAATGTTGGCGGTTTGAATCCTGGCAGCTCCCTGTGCCAAGTCGAAGTGTCCCTGGGCAAGACCCCTAACCCCCAATTACTCCACATATAAAACCATGGGCATTTTGGATAAAAGTGACAGCTGCATGTATAGTACTGTCCTGTAAGTCAAAGTCATCATCGTATCTCATGAGATACTATCTTATTATAATGACTTACAGGACCTGTTTTTCAGTGGCTGACATGGGCTTCCATACATTAACCTACAACAGATGTAGATGGATTGTGATTCACTGCACTTGTATGTGTATTTTCACCACTTCATAAAATATATGTAACATTCAGTTGAATTACGGTAGTCTGCTATTATTATAAATTGTGAATAGTAATATTTGTCAGGGTTGGGTAGGAAGGCAGGACTCAAACGCAGACGTCAAAAGCAAAAGGACTTTACTCGTCAAAAACTTCAACAAAGCCAAAGGGCAACGGGCAAAAACACACACACGAACCGGGGGAACAAAGGCAGGCAGGAACGAGGAACATCCAGACGATAGACAGGGACATCCGTGACAAAGGACAATGACGCCACCAGTGACAAACAACTCACACTGCTTAAATACACAAGGGAGGTGCAGGTGATTGGACACTGTGGAAACAATCCAACAATCACAGGGGACGACAGGACCAGGCAGGAAGTGAAGTTACCCGGGGACACGAGTGAGAGAAAACCACAAAATAAGACAGGAAGTGCACCACACTGTGACAAAATTGACAGCTTTAACTGTTCATTCTTGACATTGGCCGTTAATTTACAAGCAAGGGATGGAAATTTAACTGTATGTTACACTTATTATGACATACTGTACCGTAAGCAATTTGTTACAGTGTATAGACTGGACAGACATCACAATGACAGTTGAAAAGTAACTAGATATTTAAGGAATGTGCTTGGATAAGACAGACAAAATATATAGTATATTTTTGAGCGTAATAAAGTCAGCATTACGGCACGTGGGGAGGCGTGGACAACCTCTGACATTCAAATAGAACATTTTGAAGCAAACCTGTCAAATGTACAAGAGAAATATGAGGAAAGAAAGTGATATTGTGTGTAGGAATCTTCTCTTCACAATCTTCACATCCGGACAAAGGAAAGTGATCAGATGGACTGTACAATGGCTACAAACGCTTTTGTCACAGTTTGGGTTCACGTCCTGTTTTATTTTTTAGTTTTCTACTTCTTGTCTCCCTGGGTAACTTCACTTCCTGCCTTGTCCTGTCATCCCCTGTGATTGTCTGATTGTTTCCACCTGTGTTCAATCACCTGCACCTCCCTGGTGTATTTGCCTTGTCCTGTCATACTTTAAAGTAAAGCTGTCAGGAAGGCGGTTCTAAAAAAAGCAACCAACAAATGTCTGTTGTCTATTTTTTATATAATCCATTCTGTGGAAAACTTAAACATGTTTTGCCAGCAGGAGAAAATCATGTCAGGATCCTTAAGTTCTGCCTCAAGCAGTTGTGTGTTTGTATTTCATCCAATCAAACAACAGTGTCATGGATCTTTAAGAAGAGACAAAGGGTTAAAGTGATGCATAAACATACTGAAGGCTGAACATGTTGTGATGTCACGAGAGGCGCCGCCGCTCTCTCCGGGGTAGTTCAAATAGTGCGAGGACACCGGGTTCAAAATGTAAACAAAAGGTTTTAATTTCCGTCCTTCAGGTTCAACAGAAAACAGTCAGAAACAGGGGGTAACTCAGGCTTCGGTCAATCTTTGCCGGTAAAACTTAACTAAACGGAAATCCACTTCTTTAAGGAGAAAAACACCGTCCTCCCGGTCTCTCCTGCCTCCTAGAATCCTTATGGCTTGGTCTGCTCTTCTCAGCTCGTCTCTAAGGAGCTTACCCTTATGCCACTTCTGTGACATTGTGCCATTTGTGCCAGTTCTGACTGCACCTGAAAATATAATTCCCCCATCAATAAGTGCATGGATGGATTATTCAAACTGGACTTTCTAAATCATATCACAGCTAAATCTGAGTTGTTGCTTGACATTGACTATGTCAAAGATGAACAATACATTCAATTCCTATAGCAGAAATGATTCAAATAATTGTGAGTAGTAAGCAGGTGTATGGCAGGACCACTGTAGGGACAACCACATCACATAGACCCACCATCAGATAGACCCACCATCCACAGAAGCCTGTGGGGAGGGAGAGCACAGACACTTTAGGAGAGGGTAATGTTGGTTTACGAGTACAGTAATATGATTAATATCTAAAATAATAATGATAATGATGATGGCAGCAGCAGGCGTCAGCAGGGCCACGGCAGGCGTCAGGACCCGGGTCCCGAAGGAACCACGATCTACGGAGGCCTGATAGGGGAGAAAGCACAAAAAAAACTCCCGGGAAGAAGCTAATTTAGTGCATTAATGAAATGTGGATTATTGTAGAAAGAGAGTGAGCGAGGAGCTCGGTGTGTCTTAAGAAGTCCCCCGGCAGTCTAAGCCGATTGCGGCTTAATGAGCCAGGTCTAACTGTAAGTGATATTAACAATTAACAATTCAGTCACTTAGTGTCAGCTTAAAACACTAGATACACATCGAAAGGTTGGTGCAACCAATTTGCACAATGGTACAATAATAACAAAAAAGCAGGAACTGACATGGTCAGATGGGTTTTTCAAAGGAACTCATTTTAATGTTTAATGTATTTACATTATTCAGAAAAACATCATTATCAGCTGCATTGTGTTCACTGTTACATCATTTTCAGCAGATCCCAAAGAAGACATGTCAAACACTACGTAAAGATAACTCAAAGGTTTCGGGTGCAGGAAATTTCGAAATAAGAATTGTTTTTTAAAACAATTTGTCATGTATGGTAAATACATTGTGTGTGTGTGTGTGTGTGTGAGATCAACCACAGCCTGTGGTGTGTGTGGCCTAGAAGGGGTGACTGTGTAGTGAGTGTGCCATACAATTGTGGATGTCTGGTTTTGCATGTTTACTGAATGCCAATGAGCTCATTTGCTACTTTCACTACGCTGCTTTGTTTTGGACTCCAAAGTGAAAAGGCGTTTTTCTTGTCCTGCACCTTTTGGACTTTGTCCATTTACAGAACATTGTCGAGATCTGAGTGAAGAAGAGTGGAAAGTGTGCTGAAATAGCAGCAGTGGTTGAATTTTTTGGGAGATATGTTTTGGTACTCCCATTACCTGTTTGGAATCGTATTTGACTGATTGTCTGCTCTGGGTCAATTTGTCATTGTGATGCCACACCTTGAACAAACAAATCCAATGATCTGTGTCGACGGCCTTGCCTTGACTAACTGATTTGATTGGCAAAGTAAACCAAAACAGAGCCATTTTGCATCTCCTTAGATCACAATGTGCTGAGCACTTTTGGGTTGTCCTCTTATTGGTGTGATCACTTCATATACAGCATGTCCCTTCCTTCGAACATGGCTTTGCTGAGGTGGTTGTCATCCTTCCTGGTCATCGCTGTCAACAACTATCGTTAAGTGTTGCGTGAGGTGTCAGAAGAGCTGTGCTCCCCAGATGACACATGGTAAACACCTGCCAAAGCAAAAGACAGGGATTAAGTCTGTGCCAAAACAATATTGCAGAAGCACTGTTAGCAAGAAAAGAACAGGAGAATTCACAGACTGCAAAAGCTGCATAATGCTCTTGTTAATTGCTCTCGTGAGATTCTACAGCCATGCTTGTTGCTCTTGGAGTTTGTACTTTGAGCTAAATGCTAAGTTCAACATGCTAACAATTATGACCTTTATACAATGATGTTGTTATTATTCCAAGATAGTGTCCCCCATAGGTAATTTGATCGCCAACCAGTTAGATTGCATTGGTTGGTTTAAGGTTCAGAGGTGTTTGTTTAGGAGTGAACGCAGATACAAGGAAGAAATTATTAGAATTGTGGCATAAAACTAATGGATGTGTTTACATTACATGTCATTTAGCTGGACGCTTTTATCCAAAGCGACTTACAACAAGTGCAATTTCATAAAACGAGCCGATTTACAACTCGCTACAGATAAGAGCCATTATCTATAGCAAGCAAGTCGTTTTAGATGTAACTGGCAGTGATGGAGGCTTTACAGCCATTTGCCGCACTCGGTTGTTTTTCTGCCAAGATGTAAATATTGTAACCCTTATCTCTAAAGGGGAAATACAATTAAAAAGCATATGGTTGCTAATAATTTCAGTCTAAATGATATCAACCTTGGCATTCAATGTTAACATTTAGCAAAGCCACAATCTTGGTTTAGTGAGCATGCTACTTTTTGCAATTTAGCACATAGACAAAGGGACATTCTGACCAGAGGAACACCACTTAAGATACGCTAGGAAACATTAACGTTGCTACAGAAAAGATATTTTAGTGCAAAATGTACAAATTTCTATTACCATGACAATTTATCCAGTCATTACGGAGGATGTGAGACCGCTACAACAGATTCAACACACTTTGCTCTTTTATTTCTTTCTTTCTAAATTGCTGCTATACCTCTTCTCCAGTTCGGCCAGAAGCCCAATCCACCTGATGAGAGTTCAGAGATGGTGCTCTAAAACAAGAATATAAATAAAAATATAAATCTTCACAAAATCCAAAAGATAAAAAAGGACACAATCAAGCAAATGAGCTTACCCTTATGCCACTTCTGTGACTTTGTGCCATTTGTGCCAGTTCTGACTGCACCTGGAAATATAATTCCCCCATCAATAAGTGCATGGATGGATTATTCAAACAGGACTTTCTAAATCACATCACAGCTAAATCTGAGTTATTGCTTGACATTAAATGAATAAATAATCACAATGGTTACTATGAAAACATCCATATAACCTCTCATCATTTACAGTCTAGAGCTTGATCATTTTGTCTGCTGCTTGTAAGCTAGTTAATATATAAAACATTAGCAATGCAATATTAGAAATACACTATGTGGATTTCTTCGTTCTTTACTTGAGCAGTTGACGAAAGTTTTGTCAGTTTTTAAAAAATCAAACCTTTTTGTCCAACAGCGTTCCAAACACCAATATGAAGAAACCCTTGACAAAAAGACAAAGAGTAGAGTGTTTCAGTGACAACAAGCAAATGCACTACTCAGAGCCTATAGAGGTAATGTAGACACCACAGTACACAGTTATACTTTGATCAGTTACACTACTCCTACCTGCAATGAATTGAAGAATGCGAATGAAATGTGGATTCCTTTATTCTCTGGATTGGTTAATGTTCCTACTCCCAGGCCCCAAGTTAGTCCGAAAAGTGGTGTGAGGACAGCCAAACAGCGGCTAATAACCAGCAGAATGTGCCTCTCTGCGGCTTGTTCAGCGGTGCCAGCTAGTCTTCTTCTCAATATTTTATATATCACCAGCAACAGGATTATGAGATTTATCACAATTATTAAGAATGCAGGCACCACAAAGGCTAACAGAGCTTTGGACTGGTTCCAGTTTAGCCAACAGCTATTTTCTTGAACGTAAACCTTGGGGAAGGTTGCAGCGATAGTTATGATTGCAATGACCAGAGGCGCCCCATACCCTAGAGTGAATCCAATAGCCAACATTGATTTATTGGACAATCCCACGTCAAAAACATTGACAGTGCGATGAAGCAACAGCAGAGCCGAGGTTAGCATCCAGAAGAACATGGCCAGGTAGAAAAAATGGATAAAAAAAGTAGTCGCAGTGCATGCTGGTAAAAATCTTTTATCCGCTGCTGAAGTAAACACCCCAATAATAAACCACACGTCTGCTATCAGCAGAGACACAGCGATGTTAACAACGGTAACATGTCGCAGGTATGACGTTTTGTTCCTCCTTATTTTCCTCCATATGGCTGCTTCAATTATGAGGCATATGACCAAGGAACAAATAGATATGCCAACTCCAACGTAGGTTATTATGCTCAACGTATCGTCGTCTGGAGCGTAGGGGGACATGAGGATGGAGAACGAGGTCAGGTGGTTGCACTTGCATGTGACGGTTCTGTTGAGGTGGTTTACCAACTCACAGCCCTCGCCGCCCCATCCACCAATGCCTTCAAAGAGGCTGAAGTTCCAGAAAACACACTTCGGGTTCTTGAGAGCTTCATGCAAAATATCAAAAGTGAAGGAAACGTTATTGATGGCGCCAGTTGACTGAACAAGCACGACTCTACCATTGATAACGTTCATGGTTGAATTCTTCACATCTCTCACAGACAGCACGTTATCCATGGACGCAAATGTTATCACGGTGAGGGAGTTCTTTCCTCCGCCCGACTGTAGTAAATTTATCTCCACCGAAGAATTAAATTCAGCATTGAAATTGTCAGTGAATGTAGTTTTGTTCAGGAGAATGAAAGGCGTGTCGATGTTAAAGGACTCATTGGAAAGTTGTTTAGTAAATTTCTCAAGAGACAATAGGAAAGTTGAGCTGTCGCCTTTAGTTGAGTTGATGTCACTGAGTCTTCTTGATACTGGTTCTGCTGTGATGTTTGTGATTTTATCTGTGTTTAGAATGTCCCATGATGTCTTTGCCCCATCTGTGGTGAGGACACCTGTGGTTAACAAGATATCCTAGGTTGAAAAGAAAGAAGCTATTAGATCATGAAAAATACAGTAAATATTTGTTAGGACACTTGTACACCCCAGTAGACTGATTCACGTACCCTCATGGAAGTTTTAGTTATTGAGATATTCAAGTTTGCTACAATGTCAAATATTTCAACAACAGCCTTAATGTTTGCAGGAGATTCAACCACTTTCTCAGTAAAGTTGTGAGTGATGTCGCTGAGTATTTTCAAGAATGTTGGCAGGGAGTTCTTATCCAAGAGCTGTGAGATTTAAAAAGGAAAAAAAGTGTTAGCTACTTATGGTATCTCAAGCATCAAATTAAAATTGCAATGTGCACTATTTCTATTCAGAGCATATTTGAGTTTTTGTTTGGATAAATATCCAAACAAGTCTTTTTTTCCGTGGGTGTTACCAACTTCTTGTAATTGTGACATTTGGCGGCAGTGCATTGAATACATCCTGATGAGCTGGAATACAGCTGGTAAGCTTTAACTACGACCAATCTTTTCAGCTCCTCCCATGCAGGAGAAAATGGAGCCAGCCACCACTTTAGTTTAAGACATAAAAACATTTGCAGCAGAATGTCTCAATGTTAAAGTTCAGAAAAAAAACTCAGACAGACAGCTAACATAAACTATTGTCCGACGCCTGTGAATCTTTGTGAAGAACTTCAGTCAAATGTTACATAATTTTGCCCCACCTTGAAATGCTGCCTCCTATTAAGCCCGATGTCACGCATCCATCTATCCATCACCCGTAACAGCTGATCTGTCAGGGTGTGTGTGTCTCTCAAGCCGATCCTAGTTTACAATGGGGTAAGGCCAGATGCACCTCGGCAGGTAGGCAGGCTATTGAACTGTAGAGACAGACGACAATTCACACTCTGAATCAGAGTCTTCATTTCCTCGTCTTTGGACTGTAGGGGGAAGTCCCAGACAAATCGAAAGAATCAAAACTAAGATATATTTTAATGGGTTGACATTGGTTCAAATAAATACTTTCTTTACTGGAATCTATTCGGTTATGTTCACCTTAGCTGCAAGCCTTGCTGTATAACAGCCAGCCTCCATATTGTAATTCATTTTATTTTGTATAGCCCAAAATCGCAAATTACACATTTGCCTCAGAGGGCTTTACAGTCTGTACACATACAACATCCTCTGTCCTGAAACCCACCATCGGCACAGGAAAAACTCCCCAAAAAATGAAAAACCCTTCCAAGAGGGAAAAACATCCATTGTAAGCAAACAAGTGATTGAATTGGAGAAATGATTGCAGTAGTTTTGACGTACAAATCAAGCATTCAAGGGTTCAGCTCTCACTTTTGTAGGTTCAGATGACAAACATTGCTGGGGGCAAATTTTTTTGACTCACTTGATTTAAACTTCGCTTACTGGAGGATCATGCAATTTTTCAATTGTATGTGCGAGTATCGAGGCGTCCAGCATGTCCACCTTTCACTCTTTTTAGGGCCTGTCTCGCGTCCTGCTACAGCAAACTACGTCATATTTTGGACTGCCAAATGTTGACGCAAGTACCTTCCCGTGGTCGCTGTCACTCACCCTTTTTTAAAAGACTCCTGTTTCAGGAATCAGGAACATTTATTACCAAAATATGTTAGACTTAGACTCATCAGACAGTAAGACAATGGACAACGAGACAGATAAGACATCTTAGAGCAAGAACAACATGTTGAACAAGTTGCAATGACCAATATCCAAAAGGACAGACTCCAGGATTCAAATTGTAGTCAACAAACCAATGGGAAATCAAGAAGATTATGCCCCTTCTTATTCGCAGTACGGCACAAACATGGGGGCTGTGTGCGAGGGGACCCTCTGAGGTTTGTACACTTAAGAAACTATACCGTATGTACGCTATATCAATGAATGCCCTTAAATGCTGTGCTCTTTATCGGAATACATTTTCACCTACAGCCAAGACCATAACTGTGGCACAAGGGAGTCCCCATGCCTGAGTTGACCCAAGGGCCCCACTTCAGTGAGTCTGCCGGTCAACGTGATTTGGTGCCACAAACAGCTGGAGAAGCATCTAACCTTAGCCTGCTTGAGCAGATCCAGAAGTGGTTGAAGGATGCAGTTGTCTCTCCGTACTCTCCAAACACCATCTTTCCCACAAACCAATATCTTTTCTCCGACGTCGCCCTCATTGCAGGGAACTTCAGTCAGGTCGCCTTCATTTCCAACACCAAAGTCACCATGCTCACATTGAAAGGAAGCTAGAGAGAAGAGAACAGCTTTTTAACTCAATATTCCTAAGTAGGTACAAACTGACTTTGGCCTGGATGATATTTTATTGATCTGTAATGTTGTGATTAATACTCACTCTGTTTGGTCAATGAAAGTGTTATCGTTTTATCTAAGTCTGCATGGTTTTTTACTTGACAGAGAACAATCTTTTCACCCTCCTCACAATCAATTGAAAGCCGATGGGTGATCTGGTTTGTGCCTAAATAAAAAAAAAAATCAACTTTAAACATGGAAAAAGACAACTATTAATTTGTTGAAATAGTTGTCTGAGAACTACATCAATGTGTAAAAGATTTCCCAGAAGCAGGTTTTGCTCATTCTTAGTTTTGGGCTTACCTCCGGTAGGAATGTCTTTAAACTCAACCTCGTAGGGGCTGTTGACTGAGCACATCAGCAGTACTTCTCGTTCCCTCTGACACGGAACAGTTCTTCTGACTGGTGACACTGTGATCACGGCGCTCGGTTGGTGTTCGTATCCTCCGTTGGATCTCTGGATGAAGGTGGATTTGTCTCCTCTCAACGTACATTCATAAAATCCTGAAGTTGTAGTCGATTGTCAAATGAAAGCGAAAATGTTGTTGACAAACAAATCTAAGACACCACTAACTAACAAGGGGGAAGAACGGAAGCAGTGTTTATGTCAGGGTCGATCTGCGTATCTGCTTTTTTCCCTGTCTGTGCTTTTTTTTGTGGTTTTTGTCAACCTAGAGCACACGGACACACTTTAACATCTTCGAATCGTTTACACTTTACTGTTGGTTCATTTGTTACTACTTCAATACTATATTTATTGTTAATGTTGCTGCTGGTGATTGGCTGAGGGCCACCAAACAAAATGTTGTGTCCCTGCAGTGACAATAAGAACATCTTGATATTTACATTATGTTGAGGCCTGGGGGCTGTTGCACAAAAGTAGAATAAAGAAATCCAGGATAACTTAAAAAGTGCAGCTTGACTCAGTTTGATCTTAATCGGTTGCACGTTTGCTGATGAGAAGGAGGAGCTTAGTTAATCCAGGTGTACACAGCTGGATCAGTGCACGTCCACGGCTTTCTTAAGTCGACCACGGTGTCCATCACAGAACTTCTGATGCACAAATGGAGAAGACGCCGAGCGCAGCATATTGTGGACCTGCTGAGCAGCAACTAATTATGGAAACTTTTGAGGTGACGCATGAAATATGTTAAAAAAAAGCAAAAACAGCAGCTGTAATTAAACAGAAAAAGCCTGGCAGACAATCGCGGCCCGACTGAATGCGGAAGGATTTTAAAATATCTACTTACAGGAAAATTCTCTATAAACTGTGTCAAATATCTTTCTACAATTAATGTGCATAGAACAAACATGACAAAAAAGATCGTGGCAACAGGTCAAGATAAAATAAGTCTCTTACCAGCCTGCAACATGTTTGCAAATAAGAAACAGTTTGCAAATAAGAAACTATTTACAAGACACCTGCTCACATTTGATCTAAACTGATTTAGCAGTTAAGAAGGCGGCTCATTTGTCTGGTGGGGGGGGATGGGGGGGGGGCACCAGCACCAGCACCAGAACCAGGCTTCACTCCATCTGAGGAATTGGCCCTTGTTTTAGACCTCGGCAGCCTGTGATGGGGGGATTCAGGGTGGGACAGATACTGACGGTGTCCCACCCTCTTCATACACTCTCCATCACATCATCAAACACAATCACCGTTTATACGGAATATGTGGAAATCCTCTTTGATGTGACACGTTCTTCTGTGTCCATTAAGGTAACAAAGATGTGAGTCTAGGACTTCAGGGCCAAACACACACTGACAGTACGACAACTAGTGCCTTTATTTACAGTCCCAGCTTCTAAAACCAGCAAAGCTCCGTGTCGTACAGACGTCTGTGTGACGCTGAGACGCTTCACGCTGGTCTGATCTGCCCTCAAACGTCTCACGTCTGAAAGCACGTCTCAATACCAGTGCTTCTTCATCCAACACGTGGTTCAGAAATGGGCATCATGGTGCAGGAAGGAACAGGTGATGGGACTTTATATATCGCCCTCATCACCTTTACAATTGTTCACTCCTCACGTCAGTTTCGACCACCAGCGGACACGCCCCCCCCATCGGTCATCGACTACTATCCGCCGGACCTTCTTGACCGGTCCACAAAATATTGTCTGACATGAAAACGGTCCGTGAGGCAAAAAAGGTTGCAGACCACTGATCTACACAACTGCAATAGTAGAGTTTAAAAGCAAACTGGTGACAGCAATAGTGACAGTAATGCATGTTAATGGAAAGAAATCAGAACACGTTCAGAAGACAACGGAATAACTGTTAAACACGTTTGTTTCAGATCAGAGCGGCAGCTGATTTAACACACGAGAGATAACACAAGAATTAATCTTAGCCCGGCTAGCTGCAAAGAATAAATCGCCATGGTTACTTGGCTGGGCTTAATTCAGTCCAAGCTAAATTCATCCAGGATAACCTGAATATCCCGGCTTAATCCCTTATCCTGGTTTTGTGCAATAGCCCTCTGGTGTGTAGAAAAAAGTTTCTCTTCTGTTTTCCAATTTTACCTTTAAACTTGCAGTTTCAACTTAAAGGAAAACAGACAGATGCTAAAGCAAGTATTTTCCTTCACCAGATTAATAGTTTTAAGTTAGTGGGTCAGGCTAAACAAATGGCACAGTGTGCATCTACACAGATCTTTGACCTGGAACAAATACACAAGTCACTTTAAACTGCACCATACTGGATCCGTGACTTACCATTGTCAGTGCTAAAAAAGTTTAACACAGTAAGCGTCGTGCCATCAGCGGAGAACTTGTGTTGACCATCTTCCAGGATTATGACATTATCACGTTTCCACTCTGCAGTCCATTTGGTACTAAAAGTAAGATTTGCTGGTGGTGGGCGACAGTTCACTGTTACTTTTCTCCCAAAGAGTACTTGATCTGGATCAAACTGTAAGGGCGTAGGGCCTATAAGAATGACAGACACAAAGGCCAATTAATACCACATACCAGAATACCAAAATATATCAGACATTCCTAAAATATAAAATTATTTCATAATTCTAAAATTTCAAAAATTGTCCTACTGTCAAAAACAATTGGGTAGATTCCTGCCAGCGTTGTGAATATTCCTGCTTGTACAGAATTTATGGCCGGTTCTTGAAAAGATGCAGCTTTCAAAGTAAAGCTGCAGATGGTGCTACCGCTCCTGAAGATGAAATCACAGCAGGTAAGTACAATGTTCATCCAGGAAGGTCTCGTATCTGCTCTGGAAACCACCAACTTAGAAGATCTTAGTACACAGAACACTGGATGTTTACTTGTGTTGCCACCGGCCACACACAGTAAAGTCCAGTGAGGGTTCTCTTTTGACACTTTTACCAATACTTTTGTTGCTCTTGTTACAGGCTATCAACACCTACAATAAACCAACAACTTGACAGGAGAAAGTACATTATTTTGGTACTGTTAGGGATTTAAGTCAAAGTGCACACCTGGTGATAGAAATGATAATACATGTAGTAATGTTCAGTGTAGATTTGTAGTTTTTGATGTTAGATATTAGTTATTATATTAACATGTTAGATGAAGTGAATGCAATATGAATCAAACACAACGTGGAGTCATGTAAATCATATAAACACTGTACACATTAACATTCTGTCACAATGTGATGTTAAAACCTGGGGACGGATGCTAATTGCCGTCCTTTATGGATTTCTCCCAATTTTCTCCCCAAAGAGGGTTTTTTGGGAGTTTTCGTCTGTCAGGTAGTAAATGAACAACTTAATGTAAGACAGCCGATTGTGGCAAATGTCTTGAGTATTGGACCACATGAACGGTATAAAACCTCATGATGTAGTGTGATGAACTGTGATTGTTTATTATGTGTTGTAATTAAGTGCACTAGTTATTAGATGAAGACCATCTATGCATACTTTGTTTTATTCACTCATTGAGGCAAACAGCCAATCGTATTTACTTTGGAAGGTGAGGGACAGAAAGGACAGAGAGGTCTCAGGTTACACACCTCGATGTGAGGGGGACAAACCAGGAGGGGACGTTTTGAAGGACAAGCCAATGACATTCAAATGCACCCAAAAAGACACACAGGACTTTTCAAAGGACCAGCGCAGGGAAAGGACTGTTAGAACTATTCACATAGTATCTTACTTTGTAATTTTATTCCTTATCACTTTGTTTAGTAATTAAATACTTTTGATTTATACATTTGAGCAAGTTGACTCTTAATCCATCGTTTCCGGCAGGGAACAGAACAAAGGAGCGTGAGCCCCCTTGAGGGGTTTTCTCACTCTTAACAGTAGCGTATTTTGCTCAGGAGCTATGAAGTCACCTCCGCCAGAGCCAATTTAGATGAGCTGAAATACACAGCATTGTTTTTCATACACCCAAAGGAAAGACTAAAAGTGTCTCAGGGGGGACGCACAGGAGGCCCACGTGAGACGCATGTAATGGTAAAATATGTTATAACATTGTTTTGTGCTGAACCCGTGTCTGAAGTGTCCGTATTTGACCCTGACGTGCAAAGATGCGACATGTTAGTTTGCAGCGGTGTCCTGAGAAGGGAGGACGGTCGACTCCATCTCATAGACGTCAAAGTCAAAGGGACTTCTGCTCATGGCCTTGGTTCATTTCTTATTTGGTATAAAAGTTTTTACATCCACGTTTCTTCTTTTTGTATATTAATCATAATTTACACCTGCAACTGAGGAGGGTCTCTTGGCGCTGTCATTCGCTCGCATGGCTTCTCCTACCACAGCTATGCCGATGACACCCAACTAATTCTCTCCTTCCCTCACTCGGACACCCAGGTGGCGGCTCGGATCTCTGCCTGTCTAACTGACATTTCCAGTGGATCCGCCCACCATCTGAAAATCAACCCCGACAAGACTGAACTACTTCTCTTTCCTGGAAAAGATTCGCTTACCCAGGACCTGACAGTCAACTTTGGGAACTCCGTACTAACGCCCACCTCGACCGCTAAGAACCTCGGCGTCACACTCGACAGCCAACTCTCCCTGACTCCCAACATCACCACGACAACGCGATCCTGTAGATACTCGCTCTACAACATCAGGAGAATACGTCCCCTTCTCACTCAGAAGGCAGCGCAGGTACTGATTCAGGCTCTTGTCATCTCCCGCCTGGACTACTGCAACTCCCTCCTGGCAGGTCTCCCTGCTACCGCCATTCGACCTCTACAGCTCATTCAGAATGCAGCAGCTCCACTGGTCTTCAACCTTGCGAAGTTCTCCCACACTACTCCACTCCTCCGCTCTCTTCACTGGCTACCGGTGGCCGCCCGCATCCAGTTCTAAACATTGGTGCTCACGTACCATGCTGTGAATGGATCGGGTCCAGCTTACATCCAGGACATGGTCAAACCCGACATCCCAACCCGCACTCTCCGCTCTGCATCTGCAAAACTACTCGTCCCTCCTCACTGAGAGCAAAACACTCGACTAGGTCTCGACTCTTCGCTGTCCTTGCGCCGAAATGGTGGAACGAGCTCTCTGAAGACACCAGGACCGCAGAGAGCCTTCACATCTTCCGCCGCAAACTAAAGACACACCTCTTCAGACTCTACCTCGACTAAAGACTAACAAATTGTAGCACTTAAATTGTACTTGTGACGTCACTCATCTATAGCAAATTGTAAATTGGCTTATTTGAGGAAATTGCACTTTCTTGTTTCTTGTTCTCCTGAGTTTGTACCCTATGGTTGAATGCACTTATTGTACGTCGCTTTGGATAAAAGCGTCAGCTAAATGACATGTAATGTAATGTAATGTCTTCACATGTGTGTATAAAGACTCAGGGTTTTTACTGCTCGGAGACGCCATTCACACAGAACACTGTAGTACGTGCTTGTGTATTCGACCTCCTGCTTGCGAGCAATAGTTAGAGACAGATATCTGCAGAGAATTGCTCATGTAATCTTTTTCTTTTCTAAATAAATGTTAACTTATTGACTTTAATTGATCAACATGTCGCAATCCTTCTCGTCAAACAACTCGGGGGGATCGGAGATCCCGACACAATGCAAACATTTCAAAGGATCAACCTCTTTATTCAGTGTCTTAACATTTGCTATTTGGCATTGTAGCAAAAGTACAGCTGAGGAACGTGTGCTCGTGAAAAGTTAAAGTTCATCCTGAGGAGAACATGAACGTCTTCATTCCACGGCAATGCATCCAATAGCTGTTGAGAAGTATAATTGTACAAAAGTCCACCTCAAGGTGGCGCTAGAGATAAAGTCAGTGCATCACGTGTCTCAACATGGACGCCACCTCGCCTTGTGAAAGACACTTTTAACGCTATTCTTTTAATGTGCTGTATTTAAAATCTTTATTTAAAAAACATATTTTAATGCTCGGTCTGCAAACTACTATGGCTACAAACACTGTAATCCTCTGCTACTGGACACAGAATCATTCCTATAAAGCCTGTAAACCTGTCTGTTTAATGATATGATCATTGAGGAACTTGATTTTCTATAACAATTTAGATAAAACATTAAAGGCCTGGCAGTGGCAAATACCTCTGCTTTTGCATTTCATTACATCAATTTATTCATTTTTGAAATTTATTTTGAGATTTAGAAGAAACTATTTCAACTGCGCTGTGTAAAGGGAATATGCGCTTTTTAAAAAGGTACTCAAGTCTGTTTTACGTCATTTTAACACTCTAAAGATCTAATAGTGCTTTTATTAATCTACAGAACGTCCAGGCCCAACAGAAGTGAATGACGTGTGGGTCCATGAATACCACGAGTTATGAAAAGAGTTTGACTTACCGGAAGTTAATCGACTGAACTGCTTGGAAGGTCGAGATGTGCGTTTCACTTTGACTTTTAATCTGATCGAGACAGAGACATATCTGGCTTGTTACGCAATACACACAAATCAGGATGAAATATTTCAGCAGTGTGACAAAACTAAGTGACAGAAGCAGACGGTAAATTGAGACTCACGGCATTAAAAACGTTTTTGTAGACACTGCTGTTCTTGTCATTGTACGAAGGGTCAAAGGGCAAGTCCATAGTGAATGAGAGGTTCCGCTCTACAACAGAAACAGCTGTTTTCACAAACAAGCCCTTTCATCAGATGCCACTTCATTCTCTTCATTTGTTTAACCTGTAAATCCCTCTTGTGTTTTTGCGGTTGTCGTTGTTGTCGGCGGCGTTGTTGAACATCGAGTGACATCTGCAGAGCAACATTGGAGGTTAAATGATTACATCATATTGTTCTATTATTAGTGAAAAAAATAATACAGTCAATTACAATCCACATGTGATCCTTTCAGGTACGACCCTCCGTTTAAGAGACAAACTCAACACAAATCACATTTAGGACAGCTGGTACTAAACATATTTATTTATTATCGTTGATCGGACGACTGGGAAATAGCAATGCTTACTTGTGATTGGTTGACAGAACTCTCCGTCTGGGGGAAGTCCATTTATGCACCCACAAGTCTGATCGGTCGCATTACTGCACGCACCATAGCTGTCACACCTGTCACATGACCAAGCAAAGTGCTCCTCGCACTTACACTGCAGTCCTCCAAGGGAGTCCGGGGAACAGCCTTTTAAATGGACCATAGTTCAAAACAAGCCACTAAAGTCAGTGAACAAATAAGCAGCAAAAGCTCTTACCTGTGGTGAAGTTTAAGCCTATTACTGTTAAAGATGTCGTGATGGTTTGGGGGAATGACAAACGTGTCAGATTGTCCCGTAAAATCTGAATGAAATTTGGCGTCACACTAGCGACTGGGAAGCGCAAGTCGATGACTATATCAAAGTCCACCGGGTCTGTGGAGAACAGGACAACAAATCTATTACCACCATACACGTATAGATACTTTATTTGACACTTTCAGCAATATATTCTTACCCAAATTGGGACTTTGTGATCATTCGGTCTTGATTTTATAGTGCCACACACAGGTTTTCAACCTCTACATTTAATGTGCTATGCAGTTTGCTTTGCGCTCATCCGCATTTGGAGCAAACATTTTGGAGCCAAATCATCATCGGTAAAATTGTTTACTGGACAATCAGCTTTGTTTGTTAGAATGCATTTAATAAATGTTTAATTACATTTGTTTTGCAGGGTGTGCTTAAGGCTGTCTTATGAGATGTAGTGTTTGCAGTAAATAACTCGCCTTAACAACACTTGCATCTTCACTTCTCCGCTCACTTCCTGTTAAACCTCACCGGCAGCTCCCAGTGCGGATGACACACACATCTGTGTGCGTGATGACACGTGTACGGACTGAGCCTGTGCTGCACGGCGGGCCTACCTGCTCCACTGGTGTTTCGCTGACAGTACTGGCCGTCAGCTGGAAGGGCGCTAAGGCATCCACACGTGCCACCGATGACGTCATCGCAGGCATTTTGGTTAACGCAGATGTTAGATGACCAAGCGTAGCTCTCCTCACATCTGCACTGGTATGCAGCTCCGGTAGGTGAACACACTGCAGCACGTGAGGGAACAACAAGCTCACTGGTGACATTGACATATAGCAAAGCGTGTGGTACCACGGTGGAAGGACATTGTACCTGTTGTGATGTCGATGCTGGTAATTTCAAACGTTGTGTTGACCAGTGGAGGAGATCTGAGGTTGCTCACAAGCGCTCGGAGGCTCTCCGGGTCAGAGGTGTTGATAACAACTTGTAATTCGAAATCAAACAAACTCACTGGGGAAACATGGGCGGACATGATTGATTTAGACACTGAACCCAGTGAAGAGATCAGGAGAGATTTTGAAGTGCTGTCTTCTGTTGATGATATCACAATGTGACTCACCCTCTCGTTTTTCTCTGGCATTAACGTGTGACACTTGAGGACACACCAGTTCCTGCAAAAAGAAATGGCGAGCTGATTAGTTTCACATCTCCATTTAAGTTGAGTGTTGTTGCTTATCAGGTGCTGTTCCTACCTCAAAGGATGAACTGACAGTCTGGTTCTGCAGACAGGGCTGTATTACCAGAAGGAGCACCAAGAATCCCGCTGCCTGTGACAACGCCATCGCAGCTAGAGGGAGAAACGAGCAACACATGGATTAGTCATTACCAAACCGGTCACAGGACATGTGTGCGACCGGACACGTATCCCAAGGAGTGTAGCTGATGATTGCACACGTAGACATTTGTCTACAAGACATCAGCTGATATTGTGCTGGAGCAAAAGATTTTTTCTAAATTCTGTCAGGAGGCCGCCAATAAAATAATAAAAACAAAAATCCAGATCAAAAAAGTATTATATGCAAATTAGTTCAGATATCAGGAGCTTAAAGCGAACACGGAAAACGAGGCAGAAAATCGTTCAACGCTGAATCCAGAGATATCTGTACCATCTGTAACCTTTCCAAAGAAAGTAAAAAAGCACCAAGACATGGAAGCGTTTGAATGATAAATGCCCCTCACCTTTGCCCTTTTAAAAATTGAATTGGCGGTTTCTGCAGTGCAATACGTCCAGCAGCCATCTTGCACGACTCACACAGCTTATCATCGCTTTTGAAGGCCGTTACAGGGGTCAGGAGATCAACTTTCAAAGCCACGCTCAAGTGTCATTTTACGCTCATCATTCTAGTTGGCTGTTGAGAGTTAAACCGTGTCAACCGGCCAACCAGAGCCGCATTTAGCCGTGAGGCCTCTGCTAGAGGAGATATCAGTACTGTATCAACGTCAAACTTCCCATGATTACTGTCCACACACTGTGTCAAGATCGGGTAGGCAGAGGCAGGACCCAAATGCAGAGTTCCAAACAAAAGGCTTTAAGAGTCAAAATACAAACTGGCTGAGGGAAAAGGAACAGGAACAGGAACAGGTAGGACATTCACCAAGACATTCAGGGTAGAACATTCAATGACACAACAAGGGACAAAACACACACAGGGCTTAAATATTGCTGTTGCTGAGGCATGATCACGTCAATAAAGTTATAGTGCTTGTTTGAATCCAATTTCCTAGTGGAAGGTATTATTATAGGAATTAATTAAGTTGGACTCTTCAGACTTCAGATGTCTGCAATGATGCTTGAAATTATTTTGAGAAACGCAGTAAAATACTTTTGATTAACCCTCAACCACATTAGAAGCTCTCTATTGCAAACTAGGTCGACCTACGGGTACAAATAAACTTAACCTAAAGAACAGTTAAATCTGTGGGTTATGGAATTGCGTCATGAGCATGAAGCCTGTTGCTTGAATATTTTAACAAGACATTTTGAGAACTTCTCCACAATTACCTTTTCTACTCATTTTAATCAAACAGTTCCTCGTGTCTTCATAACATTAAGAGAACAAAACACCCTGCAGTTAAAGGTAATAATCACCGCTGCTCCGCTCCACTTATGATAGACTTATCATGTCTTATACACTCATGCTGCTTTTGAGACATTAATTTCCAGGTGAATGCTCACTTTTCTGTAGTTTGTCTCTTTGTTAAATCGCCTCCACCTTGTTTAGAACGTCATACTTATGACTACTAGATGTTAGCTTCATGACACTGACTGTAACCTTTTAGAAATAATGAGGGAATCCACAGCTGACCCTTTAATTGGGTTGAATATGGACTCATTACTTACTGCCACCCCAGTATTTCCCCAAATCATGTGTTACATATTGTTCTTACGCCATTTTAGCGAGAATTGAAAAGACATCAGTCCACTGGTCGCTTCAGCGAGAGCAACCAGTGTACTTTGAGCGAACAGTTTTCCTCGTCAACGTTCCCCGAGGCTTTAGACAACACAGACGGAGAGTGACTTACGAACCAAAGAACAAATAATTATATCTTGTGTAACGCCTGAGGAAAAAAGAATCTTTTTCTGGATAATACAGCTCCTGAAAGCAAAATAACCACCTGCAAGAAAAGCTCAAGTTGTGTTACTGGTATGGTTATTTCATTTCTTTACCTCTCTTCTCTTGTAGCTCCCAAAAATGTCTCCCCAACAGAGAACGCTGATTTTAGTAGAGTCTCCAGATATCAAAAAGCTTCCTGGAATAATTAGTCACGGTTGAGGTGAGTCACAACCCTGTTCAGCTTGTTCAGCAAGTTTTTTCCTTGGCCTAGAAACATTGTTAGGGAGAAATGTTATGTGATCTTATGATGTTTGCTTTTCTACATACTCACATAAAGTTGAATCCCATTATATTGAAAATATAATATATGAAATAAATACCACATATCAAATGTGTGTCTTTATTTTTTCATGATGTATATTTGTGTTAACATTTGACCCCTTTTGTTTGGCATTCATTCAGAGGCTGTTGCCTGCTGAGCCAGATGCATTCCAGTGGTTCAGATCCTCGGACAGCCTAATGCAAGCTGTGGTATGACTCATGACTGGAGTTTTATTTGGGTGCTCGCTATGACTAGTCGTAAGCGAACCTATTGTATTTCAAGGAATTATTAATATTACTCTTTTCTACGGAAGCTTGCCTTTTGGGGGGTGGGGGGGTGGGGCTTTATCATATCCAAAAAGTTTCTAAATTTGGCATGCATACCAGGGCTGGTGAACAATTTGATCATTTCAGGGTCTCACATTTGGATATAAAGAAATGCCCATAGCGCCCCCTAGAAATGAGAAAAACACCACAATACCCCAGTTTTCCCCCAATGCCTGGTTGACGTGAAATTTGGCATACATGTGCTCTTGGACATGCTCTACAAAAATGCGCCTAACTACATTTTCCGCTATTATGAATTTGTGAAAAACCCATTTTTCCCCATTTCTCCTAAACGCTGTGTGGCTTAATCTGGCGAGACACGTAATTTCCAAATTAATTTTGGCCGAGGGACCAGCAACCACATACATTCACACCTCTAATCGCTAAACCTACCAATACAGGCGATAGTGGAAGCGTTGTCTTGTTCGAGTCCAAAGAAGAGCAAAAATCACCTTTGTTTATTTAAGGAAGTTCTCAGAAAACATTTTGACAGGGAGGAAACAGTACTGAGGGTAATAGACGTCAACGCGACACCAGCTTTATCTTTGAATGCTCTCTCATTAAACCCAGCTGGTATGAAAGGGGACGAATGGAGCGCGTCACTGTAGTTAAAGGAGTATTTGCTGAGTTGGAATGCAGCTCAACCAGACATATTCAATGACGGGAACAATCATTGTTTTATAAATGAACAGAGAAAAGGCCATAATTAAAACTTAGTTAAGGCGCATTTTGCAAGCTATCTGCTACTAAGGAATTTGCCGTCATCGGTATCACATACTGTGCGTTTCTATGACATGCTGTGTTTCTTCCCTTTATTCTCCCCATCAAATGCTTTTTAATTTGTGGGGTTTTTCCTGTGCCGATGTGAGGGTTTCTGCACAGAGGATTCACATCCTCTGTGGAGGACTTGTTCGCTTCCAGGTCTCTGAAGCGAGCTAAAAAGATCGCGGCCGACCCCTCTCACCCCGGACAAAACCTGTTTGTGCCCCTTCCATCTGGCAGGAGACTGAGGTCCATCAGGACTAAGACCTCCCGCCACACCAACAGTTTCTTCCCGTCGGCAGTCGGGCTCATCAACAGAGCCGGTCCCCCACTGCCTGACTATAACACTCCACCGGTCACTCCCCTCACACTGCACATGTCACTTTAACTGCAATTCATCACTTTGTCACTTGTCACTTTGTCTCTTGTCTGTTACTTGTTTGTTAGTGCACTTTATGCTTAATATTTTTCTTTTTAACTTTTTAATATTTATAATTTGTTTAACTTTATTCCCTTGTTTTTTTACTAACCCATAGCCTTATTCTACTAACCCATTGCATTAGCATTTCATTCCACTTTATTTTATTACCTGTGCACTGTTGTCTTGTTTGTCTACTGTCGCGCACTAACCGCCAAGACAAATTCCTTGTATGTTTGACATATTTTGGCCAATAAATGTTTCCTGATTCCTGATTCCTGATTCCTGACATGTGTACAGACTGTAAAGACCTCTGAGGCAAATTTGAGGCTATAAGCCCGACAAAGTATCGCACACAAGTTAACGTTAAATGCGTAAAATATTGGTAAAATATATAGGCTCATTTTAAGTGGCTCATCACTCTAATCAATCAGATTATATTACTTTAAATGTGTCTGTGTGTCTCTGTTAATCTGTGTGAGCGAGTGAGGAACAGGATCTTCTCCCGCACCCTGCCTACGCTACAGATGTGTTGCTATGGGGATTTAGCCAAACCTGCTTTGGGGAGCTGAAAAGCCGGATCTACATCATCTCATCCTGAAGATGATCCGGCTAACTCAGTTAGCCACGTATGAGGAACAGGGCTGTGGTGTGCACACAGACGCGCGTGAGACAGAGCAGATTGACGCCTTAACACTGACGGGGAAGAAGTAATAGTAATAAGTAATTTTGTAATTTCTTCTGGCCATACATGAAGAAAGTATGTTTCTAAGCACATTAAAACCTGTTGCACATGCCGCTGCCGGCAGGGGGGACAGTCATCTTCAAGAGGGCGCCGCTGCCTGGATGTAACGCAGTGTTAAAAATAGGTCTAACACAGGGGTCCCCACACTGGCTCGCAAGCCACTTTTCACTGGCGATCCACCCCCCTCCCCCTCGGGCAGCGTGGTGACCTGACGTGATTCATTTCCAATGGAAGGGATCTACTGGCACCGCGTTGGGCCGCACCGGACCCCCGGCAGGCCGGATTCTCTGCAGTCTGGTAATATAAAAATATCGGGGGAGAAAATATCTGTTGAGAGCATTTAGAGCATGTCAACGTTTCTTCTTTAAAGAATTTAATTTCTTGAAACACATTGTAACACAAGGACAGTTTGCACTTAATTAGATTAATTAAAGCACACAAATAAATTGATATAAAGCTCTTACCTTGGCTTTACACCAAGTCACAGAAAATTGCGACTGCTCCGTATCTGTCAGGTATGCATCAGAACTAGAGTCTGTGTGCGTGGGTACATTGGACTGGTGACCACTTTACACTCTGGTGAAAAGAAATTATTCAAAAACAAATTCAGTCGACAAGAGCTTGCTGTCTCTTTCTCGCGCCATTCGAATAACAATTTTATGTCATAGTAGTGTTAACAGTACACAGGACATAGTTGCAGAAAGCTTCTGTCCATTTTCTACACTTAAATGGTAAAAATGAATAGAACACGTTTACTTTTGATTTTTTCTGTACAGAAAAACGTTGTTTTAGCTTCCATTGGTTCCCTTTACATCTGTTCACCTTTACTTACCTTTATAGAATGTTAAAATGATTTATCTCTTATGTGGATACATGTAGTTACACAACACCATGATGGAAATGTAAGCATTCTTTGTACTAAGCATATAAACATTTTACACATTAGAAAACCTTTGGCTTAGAATTCATCGTGTGAGTGAGTAGACAGAATACAACTCAGGTGTCTTGTTTGTCTCATTAAACATGGACTCTCTGGGTTTGTTATGTCGTTATTCACATCATTAGCAAACCACACATTTGTTTTGCTCAATGAGTTTTGTTGTTGTTGGAAAACAATGAGGCCCCAAGTCGAAGAGGTGAGATGATGGTGGCAAAAACATGAAGTGAGAGTAGGTGTGTGTGTGGCCAGGGACCAGCAACCACCACATACATTCACACCTCTAATTGAAGGCTGTTGCATCACATCAGCATAGTCATCAAAACACAGATTGTTGTTAAAATGACAGGGCAGTACTATAGCTAGACAAGTTCAGCCACATATCATCCCCCTCTTTATCTCCAACTTCTTCACCAAAATGTGCCCCCCGTTCTATTTTGAACCGAGTTTATGAATAGTTGAGAAATGGATAAGATGGATAAGTGGATCCTAATGGAGACTATTGGAAAGTAGAAGCATCAGTGGCTGCACAAGCATTCCTCGTGAAGAGAGAAATCACTTGTAGAATGTAAAGAACGCACAAATAAGCTTTATAACTCAGCTCGGAAAGATTGCATAGGTTGTGTAACAGCATACAAATACGTTTTGTGCTGCTTTGTGCCCTTTTTGAAAAGTGCTAAGCGCTCCGGATCAGTGCGTACGGCCTCTACAAGACGTTCTATTGCTAACCCCACCAATACAGGCGATACTGTGCAAAAAACTCAAACAAGACATTGTGCAGTGTCATAATCGCACGTCCCACGTTAGAAGGCGGAAGAATCGATCACCAACACCAGGATTATCCAACAGTACAACGGCAAGAAACTCAAAGGAAATCTTTTACGTTGCTTTTTCTGTTCTGTATTCTGTGAGTAGGAGACAGTATGAGAGACAGTGTGAGAGACAGTGTGTGAGACAGTCTGTGGGACAGTGTGAGAGACAGTTTGTGGGACAGTGAATGAGATATGAGAGACTGTGTGTGAGACAGTCTGTGGGACAGTGTGAGAGACAGTCTGTGGAAGAGTGAATGAGATATGAGAGACAGTGTGAGATGCAGGCTGTGGGACAGTGAATGAGATATGAGAGACAGTAAATGAGATATGAGAGACAATGTATGAGATGGACTGTGGGACAGTGTGAGAGACAGTTTGTGGGACAGTGTGAGAGATAGTCTGTGGGAGAGTGAATGAGATATTAGAGACAGTGTGAGAGACAGTCTGAGAGACAGTGCGAGAGACAGTCTGTGGGCCAGTAAATGAGATATTAGAGACAGTGAATGAGATA